ATAGCAAAATAGTCTGACGGATAGCAAATGATCCAAGTCTGACTTATTTAATTACACAATTCGATATTTAGTCCGTGACAGAATGACAATAACATGTTTACTGAAGCGTAATATAAGAATGACGAAGCTGGCAAAAGGCTAGAATAACTAAGAACGATGGTCAGCCCAGGTGCCAAACAAGATTGATAACTAATGAATGCTTTTATCCAGACCTACTCATACATAACAGATGATAAACTAATTCACAACAAAAAGATTATTGTTATTGAAATTTGTTTAAGTTTAAATTTTTCATTTATTTTTGATTCCCTTGAAATAAATTTAAAACACAAATTTTAAGACAGATAATTTTAAGACAATACCAATATTTAACCTTCTTTCAAATTTACATTAAATTTCAAAATAATAAAAAGAATACTCATAAATATTGATATTTCGAATGAATTTTCTGCATAAATAATGTATTTATCCTATATTTACAAAAAATCAAAATTCAATAATTTAAATACTTCTCCATCTAAACAATTAATACATTTTCATCATTAAAATTTCCATATCCATTTCCTTCAATACTAGTTCCCAGTCACCTCCCTCTCCCGTGGCAAAATCTTACCCTAGCTCCTCCGTAACTTCCCCGAGCTCCCCCTATTTTTTATTTATTTTTCTATTTTAAATATTGAGGTTTTTGGATGAATTTTCTGCAGAACAAGAATAAATAAAAATAATAATCTTTTTGTCAATTTTTCTCATTGTCAGTAAGGAATTAAGAATTGAAAACCAACATCTATCTATATTATCTTTTGCTCAACCGAGCAGTTGGTTAAGTGGTTAAGGCGCTTGTCTTAACACATTTTATTATTAAATTATGATAAAGTTCGATTCCTAATAGAAGCGAAATTTATTTTTTGATAATTTAGTTTTTTTCGTGACAATTATTTGAAACTTCTAATATTATTTTTAACCTCCAAAATTTTCAGAATTTTCGACTGCGACGCAAAAATAAAAGAAATCTGGTGCTTGGATGGTAGTGCGAAACTTGCGGACCGACTTTTGCGGACCATAGGTTTAGGTTTTAGTTTTTCTATCGTAACTTTGTCCAAGCTTGTACAATCACGATGATTTTGATGTCAGTCGACTCGACGAGCTCTTTCGAATGAGCTATGTTTTGAGAAATTCGTCTGGTCCGCAAGTTTCGGTCCGCAAAGATCGGTCCGCAAGTTTCGGCCTGCCGCTTGGATTACCAAAATTTTGCCTCCCCCAACTTTTCAGTAAACTTGTTTATATTTACACAATTATGTATTGTCAAAATGTTTTTTTTTAATCTTAACAAACGCGCATTTATCAATTTTTTGTTGAACTATAAACTGACCACAGAATTAAAACCAACACATCTAATTTAATTATTAGACCACCAACCTTTTTGTCAAATAAATCAATTGCCCTTTAAAAATGTAAATATGTATATTAATAAACATATTTTTAAATTTAATCAATTTTTTTTATATTGTGTCTGTTTTTTTTCTTAATTGTGTGATAGAATATCTCGAAGTAAATATATTTAGTATTTTTTTCTGATCTAGTATAATCTAAAAATTAACATTTAACCATATTTTTGATAACTATTTGATGTTTTATTAAAAATCCGAACATACTCCAATTTGTTTTAAATTTGTTTTTAAAAAATATTTCTAAAATTGTCATTTATGTAACAAATTTTCCTTTTCGTTTTCTCTTGTGTGTTTCTTGTCTCCCTAAGTAATTAAGTCCGAATAGGAATTCAAATTTTATTTCAGATACGAATTCAAGCTCCAAGAGAGTAAGCAATAAAATTTTAAGTTTTTTTTATCTCTAAACTAAATTTGTACAGGTCTGATTTGAGTTGGGAATTCCAAATAAATAAAATTCAAACGTAAACTTAATTACCTAAATAGAAACCTAAATAATTCTTTTTCTATTTATTCTAGCGAGTTTAAAAAAGAAAATAAAACCTAATCTTTACCGGAAATTGTTTTAAATTTATTTTTTTAGAGTTTATCATTTTCTTTTAAAAAAATAACAAAATTATTTTAAAGTTTAACAAATTTTGAATATTTTAGGTTTTATTTTTTCTTTATAAAAATTAATTTTAATTATAAACAAAAAATGGCTGAAGAAGGGTCATCAAATTCTGATTTGGAATCAAAAATAACTGAAAATTTTTTTCAAATAAAATCTGTTGAAAAGAAGACTTTAAATTTTGAACAAAAGACTTTAAATTTGGAAACGAGGACTGTAAATCTTGAAGAGAAAAATTTTTCAAATGAAATTAAATTGAAAGAAATTGAAAAAGTTTGTGGAGATATAAATAAATTTTTTTGTTAATTCTAAATTTTAGAAAATTTTGAATTTAAATTCTGAACATAAAAAAGAAATTGAAGAATTAGAACAAAAATTTCAAAAATTATTTGACAGCAAATTTAACCAATTAAAAGAGGAAAATGATCAGAAAGATGAGAAAATTAATTTTTTGGAAGAAGAAATTAAAAAGGTAGTAATTAATTAATTTAAAATACAAGGCAGAAAAAACATTAAAATTAGAAATTTTTTTCAAGTGGCGAAAATTAACTTAGTGGAAAATGTTTTCCTCATGTTTTTTTAAGTTTTATTCAAAAAAAATTTCCTTTGCCTTTATTTATTTTTATGTATTTCTGATGAGGGAAAAATTTTTTTATCTAGGTCAGTTGGGTTCAAATATTTTTCAAATTTCGATGATTAGGGGTGAGTTAAAAATCTCTTTTTCTTCTGCTTTCCTTCATTATATTGATAGGGAATATTTCAGGAATTTATTCAGAATTTTGCTATTTTGGTTTTCCATAAATTAAACCCTAGTTTTTCCTTAAGTAAATTTCCACCACTTTGCAGAGCAGTTTCTATTTTTTGTAATTTGAACTAAAGTCTATCTACATACATTTTTGATTGAACCAGTTTCTGAACTGGAACCTTTCCATCACTTGTACCAGCCAGCCCACAAGTCCCGAATCCAAAAATACCTATTCACTCCGATGAGGGTTTGAATTGTCCTTTTTTCTACAAAGGAAAAATTAACCATTTCTAGTTAAAGCAAGGAAATAAGGGGAAATATGGATTCTCACCTAGTATTTCATAAACTGTCAAATTTGGAGTGTATATTTTTGGTAAATAAAAAATAACTTAAGTCTGGGAAAATTTTTAAATAATTTTTTTGGTTTTTAATTTACAATAAATTTATTTAAAAGATTCAACAAACAAGTTCAGACAATACAAATAAAATTAAAATAAAATATGAACCCGGTGATGATAGAATTAAAAATTTGGAGGAGAAATTCCAACAATTAAAAGCTGAAAATGATCGGAAAATTAATTCTTTGAAGGAGGTATTTAATTAAAAATTACCAAAATTCTAACTTAAAAAAGGGAATTAGTTTCCAAATTTTAAATCAAAGGAAAATTGTTTTTCGTTTTAAAGAATTCTAATTTTAAATAAAAAAATTATTTTTTATTTAAAATTAAAAATCTTGTAAAAAAATTTTCGAATAAAATTAAATTGAACAGACAAATTCGGATAACGTAAATAAAATAAAAATAAAATAAGAAATTTTTAAATAAATTTTTATTTAAATAAAATAATTCAAAATAATTAATTATTAATTCTTTCATAAAAATTGATATAAATTCTGAGAGAATTAATTTTATATATTTTTGTGTTAATTTTAAATTTTAGAAAATTATAAATTTAAATTCTGAACATAAAAAAGAAATTGATGAATTAGAACAAAAATTCCAAAAATTATTTGAACAATTAAAAACTGAAAATGATCGGAGAGATGTGTCGGAAAAAGAAAAAGTATATTAATATATTCCGAAGTAACTCTAGGGCTCAGTAAAGTCTAACACAAATATTTTAACAATATTTATTAACAATTTATATTAATAAGAGAAAAAGATTGGCTTATTGAATAAGCAGAATTAAAAGCTAAGGAAAAGGTTCAGCCAAGGTTAGGCTGTATGGAACACAAAGAGTAAGAAGCCAGCTAGTGCGATTACTAAGCTGTAAGAAGGAAAATTAAATTACTACAAATGAGCACAGAAAAAGCTGAGAAAAGAGTTTACAGGAATTGTTTATATAAGGAAGTTTTATCTCTTTAATCTTAGGAATTGTTGGGAAAAAATATTTTTTATAAACGACCGGAAAGGAAATAAATATGATTAATTGGGAAAATTCGCAAACTGCGACAGATGAGAGAATTAATTTTTTGGAAAATGAAATTAAAAAGGTAGTAATTAATTAATTTTATTTAAAATAAAATAAAAATTAATATAAATTATATAAAAAATTCTGACTTAAATTAGTTCTCAAACTTGTAAATCAAAAGAAGAGGCTTTTCGTTTTAGGAATTTTAATTTTAAATAAATATTTTTTAATAATTAATTTTTATAAAAAGGTAAATGATTTATTTGAGAAAAAGTTTGAAGAATTAATTAAATTAAATAATTTAGCTAATAATAAATATGCGGTTAGTATTTTAATAATTTTAATCTTAAATTATTAAAAAATAATTTTTTAAAGAAGTTTGTTGGAATTGAAAATAAATGGAGTGAAATTGAAAGTGATTTTATTAAATGCAAAAATAATTTTATAACAATACAAAAATATATTGGTAATAAATTATAAATTAATAAAAAATTTCAATAATATAAAAAATTTGGGAATTGAATAAATACCGTATTTATTATAATCAAATGTCTATTCTAATTGAGCTGCCCTTTGTAAATATAAATCAGTTATCTTTTATTTGCTTTAGTTCAATATTATCCTGATATTTTCGATGAAGTCTGATCCAGAAAGGCGATTAAGGGCAATATCAGAAATTTGGAAGGATTAAGAAGATATCAAAAGATTTGGGGAAGATATCTAGGGATTTAGGGATTTGTATATCAATCTTAGGATCTATAGGAGTTTGGAGAAATTAGAGGTAGTATTTATGGATTTAGGTAATATTATGATTGTTGTTTGGACAGTAAAAAATAAACTAATGAATTTTTGCGTTTAATTTGTTGTAAATAATTTAAGGTGATGATATAGTTTATGTTTATGCAAACAATTCATTTAACAAACCACAAAATTGTCTAAATTATTCTTTATATTATTATGAAATTAAATATAAATTTGAAGACAAGTTTCATAATAGTGAAAAGACGGTGCTTATTGGTCTAGAAAATTCTGATTTAGAAGAACATATTTTCTACAGTCCAATTTCTTGTGGAATTTATTACATAAGAAAAGAAGAAGCAGCAACAAAAGAAAAATTTATGTTTTCAAGAATTCCTTTCAATTACAATGATGTTTTTGGTTGCGGATTAGTTTATCCGCCAACTTATAAATTAAATGAAGAATTTCCTTATGTTTTCTTTACTAAAAATGGAGAAATGTTTGGTAAATATTAAAAAAATAATTTTTTACAAAAATTATTTTTTAAGGTAAAGGTTTTTTATTAAAAGACAATTTCGACTCATTTAAACCATTTGTCAAAATGGCATGTTATTCTATTGAGGCAAATTTTGGAAATAATTCGAAAATCTCATTTAAATATGACATTTCAAAACATAAAATTCTAAAAGAATTTTATTGAAATTTATTTATTTAGGTTAATTTCGTTTAGGTTTTTATTTTTCTTAATCTAAATTATTAATTTTTTTAAGTTTTTATTAAATTTCTAAATGAAAACTCTATTTGTGATACATCAAAAAGGGTGTGCGGCCATAACGGCGCAAACTCATAACTAGCTGAAAAATTTCTGGCCCTTATCAATTTTGAAACCAATTTCTTTAGCTCGATGAGAGGAATTGTTTAATACTAAATTTGGTAAGATTCGGAAATTTTGAAGCAGGTTATGGCTTTGCGCAGTTATGGCAGCGTGCCCTTTTGAGCTGTACCCCCTTATGTGACCATACTTTTTTGTTCGCAAAATAGTCTTTTTTAAATTTTGTTTATTTTTTCAAAAAATTTTATAATTATTACTTAATTTTGTTTAATTTAAAAGAAATTATTATAATAAAATAAGCGATTTAATTTTGTATATTTTGTATTAAAAGTACAATTAAAAAAGAATTAGTGTATTGGGATTCCCGACCTAAAAACCTTCAGGAATTCCCGATTTTTGTAGATCGGGTTACCCAGATCCCAGACTTATAATATCGAAAAGTACTTGTACCAAGCAAGCATTGTTTAAAAAAGAATAGCCGTCGGAATTTATTTCTATTTAATTAGAAAAGGTAAAAGTGAAAAAAGATTTATTAAAAGTGGAATTGGGAAAAAATTATTTTTTTAGTTTATTTAATAAAATGCCAAAATAAATTTTTAAATAAATTTGAAAAACTAGTAAAATCTTAGAGCTGTAATAAATCGAAATAATAAATCTAACAACAATTAAAGTCCCCTCCTTAAGAACAGGTACTATTATAAGCAAACTTGATAAAGTACGAAAATAATTTTATGAAAAAATTCTTAGTCAAAATAATTTCCAGATAAATCGAAAAAGTTATTTGAGGAGGTAAATTATTAAAAAATAAAAAAAATTATTTTTAACCAACCAAAATATTTTACCAGTAATTTGTTTTACACAGAAAGGAATTTTTTGTTTTTGAAAATAATTTTTAAAAATTAAAATAAATCATCTTCCTCAGCAGCAGCAATTCTTTCTTCATCTTCTTGACTTCTTTCAATTATATCCCCAACATCATCTTCTTCCCCTTCAGAAGTATCAGATTCTTCTCCTCCTTTTAATGATTGTTCATGTAACATAACATATTCTCTTGAACTAAATCCAAATTTTAAAACATCTTTTTCTTTTAATTGGTAATAACGTTGAGCTTCTATTCTTTCACCATTCTTTTAAAAAAAATAAAATTATTAAGAAGGAAAAATTGGAGCAAATCAATTAAAATTTGTAACAAAAAAATCACGAGACTTTTTCATAAAACAAAATCACAAAATTTTCCAAAGTGTACAAGGAAACGCGTTGATAAAAAATAAATTCCCTATCTTTTGGGAATTGGGTTGTACCAGTTTCTACCCGAACATGTACTGGTTTTAACCCCAAAAAATCAAATAATCCATTAAAAAATCTAGTTACCGTAAATGTTCCAATAGAAGCCCTAGGCGTCTATTTTTCAATGGGTTCCCCATTGGGTGGGCTTCTAATGGGGCATGGGCGTTTATTCTTCAATACCCCTCATTGAGTGGGCTTATAGGTAATAGGGCATGGGCTTCTTTTGGAGCCGGGCTTCTATTGGAACATTTACGGTATTCAAAAATTAAGACTTTAAATTAAAAAAATTATTACCAAAAATGTTCCATTTCCTGAGCCCAAATCAATTATGTAAGGACGAGTTCTCTTTAAAAAATAAAATTTATTTTTTAAAAAATATTTCCAAAACAAAACTCTTCCTTTAGACCCATCAGCCCTTTCAAAAGGCATTGAACGATATTGAAGAGCTGCATGTTGTTTTGAACAACTTGGATGATCAATAGGGAAATCGGCAACTTTGTGATCACGTCCAATTAAATAAGCTGATTGGCGATGGACATAAATTACTGGCAATGATTCTTCTCCCTGGAAAAATAAACGGATAATTTGAAAATTTAAAGGTTTGTGAGTGGGAAAATTAAAAATGGATTAGAAAATATTTTTAGAACTTAAAAACATAAATTTAGAAAATAGAAATTTATTAAATGTTCCTCCCGAGAAAAGTAATTGACATGTTAGTTAACATTCCAAAAGCACTCCTTACAATTAGACCCATTCAATGTAAGTTTGGATATTGTAGATCAGGTATGGGCCTGGATGAGAAATAGTTGGAGTTCGTGCGAAAAAATCCCGGGTTTCAAGTATTGAGTAATCCAAACCCATTCGTGTTTCCGATAACTATGGGACTCCAAAATATAAAACAAAAAAATAAAAGAAAAACAGAAAAATAAAAAAAATTAACAAACTTTAAACGGATAAATTCTCCAACGCAATTTTGGAATTTTAGCTTCTGGAGGTTCGTTATACTAAAAGGAATAAATTTAATCAAAAATTTTTTTAATAATTTAAAACAAAAAATCTACCTTAACAACAACACCTTTAAATGTATTTGTGTCCTGTGCAAGTTTTCCAGAAGGCTCAAATGAAGGTTTTTCTCTTTCCTCTTCCTTCTTTTTTGAATTATTAAATGAAGGTTGTTCTTCTTCTTCTTCATTTTTTATTTCTTTTTTCAAAGCTCCACTAGGTTCCCATGAAGGTTTATCCCATCCACCAGGCGGCGGGTCCATTCGAACAAATTTTCGATTAGAATGAGAACGATGTTTTGAATGGTGTTCATAATGATCTTCATCTCTTCTTGAATCTCTATCGCTTCGTCTCTAAAAATAATTTTACAAAGAAAGGTTGCGAGGTGTCCGACCTAAAAACGGTCGAGACCGGGCTCATTCGATAGAGAATGTGCCCTTCTACCAAGGATTTTGTACCGTTTTTTGATCTGGCCAAGATATGGCCCTCTAAAAAGCCTGAAAATCTTAAAGAAAATACGGGAAACAAAAATTTCGTTTAATTTTTCGGATTATTTTCCCACCCAAAACCCCCAAACATTCTATGAAACAAAAAAATCCTTTCTAGAATAATTTTACAAAAATTTAACAAACCTTCGATGTTTTAGGACTTCTTTCTCTTGATCGACTTCTTTCTCTGCTATATCTTTCCCTTGAACGGCTCCGTTTTCTTCTGCTATGAGATGAAGAATGTGGACTTCTACCCATTGAATAAAATAAATAAAAGAAGCAAATACTCTAAACTAAAAAGAATGAAATTTTAAAAAATTTAAAAGATATTATAAAAAATTTTAATTTTAAAATAAACAAAAAATACACAATAAAATTTATTTAATCAATTTTCTTTTTAAAATAATAAAAAAAAATTGTGTAGAGAAAATTACAGGTGAAGAATTTAAGGAAAGATTAAAATATATTTGTAGTATTCACACAGTCGGAATTAAAAGTAAATATACAATTCATTCTATTTAAAAAAATATTTTCCGTTAAAAATCAGAAAAATAAATTTTTTTAATAATTCTACAGAAAATCATTTCTAAAAAATTCCAACATTATCAACTAAAATCAGTTCAGAAATAATGAATGAATTATGAAAAGTAAAATTAAAAAAAAATATATTTTAAAGACTAAACGTCTCCTTTATTTTTAAATTTATTTATATTTAACCAAGAATCTTTTCAAAAATGTTGCCAATCATAGGCAATATTTCGATGATTCAACTCATATTGATTTATAACTTCTTCGGCAATTTCTTGATGTAACCATTGCCTTTGAATTTTCCAATAAAGTTCTTTGTTTAAACGCATAGGATTTCCACGTCTAAATAAAAATTGAAAAAAATTTTCATTTTCAAAAAAACCTAAATCCTGGGTCAGTCTCTCCAAACTCATCAACATAAGGCGCATTTTTAAAGCAACCTCTAATAGATTCACCAGCAATATAAAGAAAGAAAATTTGACATTCACGAATTCTATTGATTAAAAAAAGTAAAGGGAATTCGTTAAAATCTAAGGAAACCTCAAAAATATTCCCGTAGAACCATGGCAATGACTTAAATGATAAGCACAGGCTCCCATCTTTTTACCAACAACCTTTATTTTTAAAGATTAAAAAATTAAAAAAATTTCAAGAAAAACCTCAGTTTCACAACAATAACTATGAGAGCCTGAAAAATAAGATTTAATTAAAATTATAAATTTAATTTTTACATAAAATTGTTCCACAACATAAACACAATGTTGGAACCATTGTTGTTAATTCACCGATTATTGGACACCTAAAAAAATAAAATGCAACAAAATCTATGAAACAAAAATAAAAAATTTTAAAAGATAAAAAATACTTCAAAGCACTATTTTTTAAAATTAATATCTAATTCTATTCTCTTTAGGTTCTGTATTCTCACCTAAAAAAATTTCGGAACATTGTAGCATTACATATAAATCTTAATTAATAAGGTCGTCGGATAATTGAAAATCTTCTGATATCCGGATCCTATATTCGAACCGAAAATTACCGGATATCCGGTCTTTTTTTCGGAGCAGGATCCGACAACCTTATTAAGGAACTGTTTAATACCAACGAAAACCAAATCTAATTCAATTTCAATAAAAATAATACCTAAACCGAACACTCATATTCACCAATTCTCCAAAATCTTCAGGTAAATCAATTAATTTATTAACTTTAATAGGCAATGAACGAGGAATTTCATTATTAACAGATTCTGTTGGAAGTGTTTGACATTGTGACCACCTAAAAATTAATAAAAATTAATTTAAAAATTCACAAACATTCGAAAGAGTTGTTCAACTTCAACACCTCCAAGTATTTCCAAAATTGTAGAAGGGAGGCCAAGATAACGACATAAAGGTACAAAACCATCCAATGAAGGATCTAATTTAAAAAAAATAAATTTATAAAAATATTTTTTAAAAACCTTTCAAAGATTCAGGTGGTGGAACAAGTGTGATACAATTATATAAAATGGCTAAAGGACGCAAGAATGTAATTGTTGCCAAATGGAGTCGCTGAAACAAAAAATAAAAATATTTAAAAAAATCCCCAACACCTTTTATTTATAAAAATTATGAGTAAAATTCCTCAATATTTTATAAAATGTTTCATTTATTTTCTGACCCAAAAATATTTCTAAAAATTATTCCTCCATAATTAAACCAGGTTCCTATGGGTACTAAAAACATTTTCAAATTACTGCAACTTACATAATATAACTCAATTCCACTTTTTGGCTTATAGCACCACCGTCGTTGAGGGAAAAGTTCTTTCAAACGTGACAAAAATTCTTCAACAAAAGGAGAAGCTACAGAATCCATCTCCTCTACATCCTCTTTTATTTCAGATTTAATTAAATTTCCAAGCTCAGTATTTTCCAAAGATACAGGAAATTCGGAAGATTCAAATGATTCAATTACTTGGAATAAGTAGGCTACTAATGTTAAACGCATTACATACCTGAAAGTGTGAAAATAAAAATTTTTTTATTTAGAAAAAAAGAAACAAACAATTCATCCACACTTCCATCAGCCACTTTATATATTAATACATTTCCTGAATTTGTTAATTTTCCATCAACCCAACACCAACCAATGCAAATAACTAATTCAACCTTTAAAAATAGAATTATTGTTATTAAACTAATATTTAAAAAAATTTTTGTCTGAAATCAACTTGTCTCTATTATGCACACAAGCATACGCTGTACACTTTCTTACACTCACAATGTCTAACAGGAATCCAAAAAAACGAAATATATATGAAGAAATCAGAATTGCATTTCTCAAGTTTTAATTATTTTTGCAATCTTGTAAGGAAAAGAGTACAATGTAGCATAGCAGAGATAAGATGGTTTGAGAAAAAAGTCGGGTCGGGTTTTCAAAAATTCCTAGGGTCGGATTTGGGGTAAAAAAGTCCGGGTTTGAGGTAACCCGTCCCATCCCTGTAGCATAGGCGTATTAAAGAGACTATAAAACCCAAAGCACCTAGTTTTGATTATTTTTAGTTATTAGAACAAAAAACAAACCGCCAAACTAAACATATCAATATTCATAATTTTCACATCACTATGTAGAAGTTGATCAAGATGAGTAAGTGGTTTAGAAGGTGAAGACAACTTTTGAATTTTACTGCTTGTACTTGGAATATCATCAACAAAAGGTTCAACAACTTCGCCTTCTCCAGTATTGCTGTTTGGAGCCAACAAAGGAGTCAAAAGTTGAGTGACAAGTGCATGAATTCCATAAGGTTGGCAATTAAACGGAATGAGATTAGAAACTCTTACAAAGTTGTTTAGACAATCACGCTTAAAAATAATGAGATTAAACAACTAGGATAAATTCCAAGTTTTTTTGTAAAAACCTGTCGTGTATTAAATGCACCAAAAAGAGGTTTATTTTCTGTTTCCAATTCAGAAGATACCGAACGCAATAGAAACGCACAGGCTTTGAGTATATTTACAACTTCAAATATGCGAATAAATGTTTTGACAACACGATTATTTGGATTGATTTGTGGCAATACACCATATTCTGTTAATTGAATCTTTAAAAAATAAAAATATAATTTACAAAAATTTCTCAAAAATTTTTTTATAAACCTTGAACATTGCTTTAGTTAATGGTTTTAAAGTATTCCAATGTGGAATTGAAGGAGGAACGCTTTAAAAAATAAATTTTAGTTAAAATAATAATTTTTTCTATACTTTTCTTGTGTTATTTCCTTTGGTTGAATCTTTTTAGCACCAAATAAATTTTTTCCACCAAAAACATGTTGCATCATAATATGCATAAGAGCAGCTCCACGTCCATCTAATTGTTCTGCAGTTTGTATTTGACCTGTTATAGCATCAGAAATTGAAACTAAAAATGTAAAAAAAATAGGGATAAGATTTCCTAGTACTTTTCTGTTATCTTTTCAGGCAAAATTTGTGTCCAATCTCTCCTCGTTTTCCATTGAAAAAATCCGGATACAGCTCAAGTAAGCGCGCAGCCATAACGGCCAGAGTCATAACATGCTTCAAGATACCTTTCATCAACGATTCCTCTCATCAAGTTATAGAAATTGGTACCAAAAGTAATATCCAGCAAGTTATGGCTTTGCGCCGTTGTGGCCGCTCGCCTGCGTGTCCCAAAAATCCGTAAATAATGTCCGAAAAACTTTAAACAGATAACAGAAAAGTAAAGATCTTCCTCTATTTTTCTTTTAAAAATTAAAAAATACATAGTGGAGAAGTGCTTCGAGATGCTGAAGAAGCAGTTCGAGATATTTGAGTCTCAATTGTTGGCGTTGAATCAACAAAAGAAGATGGGAGACTGGCAACGCTTGATTGAGAAGCACTAGCATCTCCAATATTAAGACCAACTAAATGACCAATCCCTTCTGCCGCTGTTTGAGTAGAAGAACTGCCACTTTTTGCCAATTCTGCCAAAGAACGTTCAGAATGTGATCTAAAAATCAAAATTTGAATTTTTTTTTATTTTTTCTAAAACCTCTTTCGACTGTGCCCCTTAACTTGCACAGGAGCCGATTGAGTAAATAAAGCAGCTTTCAAATCATTAAGCCAAGTTTCAAACGTTCCACTTTCAAATGGGCGATCAGTTGAAAATCCTGTAACATCCTTCAAAGAATGATAGGATGGATAAACTGGCATAACACCTAAAAATATTTAAAAAATAAAAATTTAAATTAAAAAAAAATAAGAACAATTGGAAAGTCGTTTGCACAAAGGGCAGAGGAATTCACCCATTTCAGTGTCCAACATTTGTGAATTCAAAACATTCATTCTACGGAGATTTTCACGGACATAAGCAGCTTTAATAAATCTAGAAGAATATAGCAATACTAGTTGAATTGGTCCTATTTGAAATTAGAAGTCCCTTAGCTAAAGTTGTTGTTTGACAGGAAAAATAAGAGAAAGTGCCATCTTAGGTCCAAGAAATTAATTGTATTAAATAGGTTCTTATTTTAAATCTTTAAGTGCCAAAATACATTAAAAATCAGAAAAACGACAAAAAAGGATCAGTCGGAAGACAGGAATGTAGGTTTACATAGACTAAATTTAATTATTCAAACTTACGTATTATAGCAAGAAAAATGCATAAGATGGGAACAAGTAGAAATATGTAATTCTTCTGGAAGATTAACAGAAGAAAAGATATCTATTTGATCACTCATTAATCGAGACAACGAACTATTTGAATTTCTTGTACATTTTTGAGAAAAAAGTCGGGAACTAAAATAATAATTTTAAATAAATTTAAAATTAAAAAACATACTTTTGAACAAATGCAGAACAAACAACTGGATTTCCATCAAAAGAGATTGACTCTTTCTCTTGACAAAGAACGCACATAATGGTAGGTTCTGGTCGTAATTGAACATCTGATTTTTTGTCTCCACAACAAACAGGAAATCCAGAATCGGGTAAGAGAGTTCTAAATAAAATTTATGATTAAATAATCTGGAGTCAGATTTAAAAAAAAACTGGAAAGAAAACACCACTATTATATTTTCCTAACCCCTTTTTACAGGAGCTAGTCGGCGTTGGGCCCCAAGAGTGGTAACCCACCCTTGGGGCGCGCCGATCCACCTATTAAAAACGAAGGCCTTCTTTTTAACTTTTATTCAACAAATATATTTAATAAATAAAAGGCGAAAGGACAGGCCAACTTTTGATCGGGCCTAAAACTTATATGAATTAATTTGGCCTGTTTTCTTTCGCCTTTTATGAGGCGCTAAAAATAGGCGTTTCAATATTAACTTAACCATGACAACCACAATAAAAAAGGATCGAAAACACAAATAGAAAACCCCCAAAAAAACATTTTCTAAAACCTACGCTTTTTCACCATCATCCATATCAAAGGTGCTTGATGACTGTGAATCTTGTTCTTGTTCAGAATCAATAAGTTTAATGTTTTGTGTTTTAAATGAATTTTGAAGTTGACGCATCTTCAAATTAAAATGTTTAAACTTAAAAAATTGAAAAAAACCCTCTCCAAAGCAAGCTGACGTGTTTTTGCTGCCATCGCAGCTTTTTGTGAGGGTCCAGAAGAGCTTTCTATTTTCTTCTCGAGTTTCTTATCATCTTGTTTTCGAACACAGAGAGATTTATAATTCTAAAAAAGAAAAACCTTAAAATAAAATAAATTTAATTAAACCGTCATAAGCCACCAAAGAAAATCGGAATGAGTTTCCAATTCAGATTTATTCATTAAACGTTCAAGTTTTTCAAATATTTCTTCTTTTGTAGCCATTTTAATAAAATTAAATTTTGTTCCCTGAGAATTACAACGTTTTTGTTCATTCAAAGCCATTCCCAACAAAAATATGGCACCTTAAAGTTCATTAAAAATTCAAAAAACAATTCAAAACAAACGATAAAAGAGTTGATCGCTAACAAATCTTGATCGCCTTGTAGTTCTTTCAATTATTGTGTCTATTAATTTAATAAAAACATAGGATTCCATAATCTATAAAATTTAAAAAAAAATAAAAATTAAATTAAATAACAAACTCTGAGAATAGGCGCAAAAAAGCGTGAAAAAGGTGGTGGCAGAGGAGGCGGGCAAGCTTTTAATTCACGACTGAGTCCAGCTCTATCTTTGTTTTGTTGTTGTTCTGCCATAGAAGCCAATTGTTTATTGTCTAAAAATAAAATGAATTATTTAAAAAATTTATTAATTTATCACAATGCCAAAAGAACGGATTATACTCTGAACGAAGAGATTCCTTTTATAAATAATAAAAATTTAAAAAAACAAGCTCTAAAAACCTTCAAATAAAACTGCCCACTCGACACATTATTTGCTCTCTTAAAATTTCCAACATTGCGAACAGCATTTTCTAAAGAAAGCCTTTGAATGGCTGGATCATTAGGAATACACTTTAAAAATAAATTTAAATAATAATAAAAAACAAAAAAAAACCTTTTCAATATAACTAAAAGGCTTTGGACCCGTAGCAAGTATATGAATAATTTCTCTCTCAAGTGTTCCCTGTGGAGATGCTCCCTCACTCAAACCAATATAATAACGTTCTCCAAACAACATAATTCTTAAAAATTAATTAAAAGTTAAAAAATCTTTCAAAAAATCTTACAATAAATGTAACATCTCCTCAGCAATATTAGAAAAAATTTTGCTCGACTCATCTCTACTGCTTCCATCAGATGCATAATTTTGATTCATTGACTCCTCAAAGTCAGGTTGTGCCCATTTTGCTAACCCAAAACGATCAAGCATACGAATCATAAATATGTTTGGTTCCATTAAAGCACCAACAGCCTTTCAAATAACATGTATTTTAGCAAATAAATTCCAAAAACCTGTAACAATTGAACATCTCTATCAAACATTTCTGTACGGCAAAGATTTGAAGTATAATTATGCATCTAAAAGAGATACAAAAAAATTTTTTAAAAATTAAGATAACCTGATTAACAAGAGAAAACCCGTTCCTCCTCCAAATTTGTGCTGAACTAACTTGAGCATTTAAAACAAGAGATCTAAAAAGAAAAGATTAATAATTTGTCAAATAAAAGAAAAATGTAAAAATCAAAAAAATGAGTATACCTCAATGGCATTTCCATCAATATGCCTCTTGTTCCCTTCAAATTAATGTATTTAACAGAAATTTCAGGAAAGTCCTCATCAATATCACAAAACGCAAAAGTATTTTTTTTGATGTCGCAATCGTAATATTTTAAAATTTCATCTGGAGCACACAAAAGTCCGCCAATAAAACGCCAAAGTGGTTGATGAATGGATATGGGACAATTTGCAACTTGGTAATTGTAACAATCAGCAGAATGTCCATAAACTTGAAATTATTTTAAAATTTAATAAAAAAAGTATCCAAAATTGAAGTGCAAAAATTGGAGTGATAATCGGAAAAATTAAATATAAAACTAAACAAAAAAAATTTTTTTTCTCAAACCTTTAACTTCAACACGTTCTTTAAAATCAGAAGATTGAAATGTACGACAACTTTGATTCATTGCCAAATGAAAAAGTTGAGTATTTACAGTTGCATCTGTTCTAGCCCATGAAAGTAAAAGTGAAAGAGGCTCTTGAATTCGAAGAAAAATGTTAAATGCTGTTTCCCATTCACTTTCCTAATTATAAAAATTAATTTAAAACATAAAATTAAAATAACAAAACCATTAATTGATGTTCTGATACTTGTCTTTTTATTTCATCCATATTCTTAAAAAAATTATTTTAAATTAAAAAATACCTAAAAAAACCTGCATATAAGCCAAAAACTTTAAAAATGCATGTGAACCGTTAACAATATTTTTTCTTAATTCAAAAGTCCATTCATTTGGTTTTGGAACAACAGTCAACAAATAACTGTAAAATATTTAATTTTTAAGTAAAATTTAAAACGAAAGTTTTTTTAATTCAAAACTCGTCGCCTTTATCTAATTTTCAACTTTATTTAAATTACAAAAAAACACTAACCTAACATCATTGACCATATAAAGTGCCCTTCGTAAAACTGCAGGATAAGAATCTGTCGCAAAATCCATTCGTGGAATAGAATTGTCTGCTGAAACAAAAAATCATTTTCTAAATTTAGTTTTTAAAATTAAACCTTTTAAATATTTACTGCAAAAAATTCTCAATCCATTCATACAAACATAAATAGCATTTGCATCAGCAATTAAACGCTCTTTAAAAATTTTTTTAAATTAAATTGAAACAAAACAAACTGGCAATTGTTGGAACTGTAAAAATCTTTAAAAAAAATAATTTTAAATAATTAACAGAAATTTAGAAATTAACCTGTACAGACATTGAAGTAATAGAAACAGAATGTTCATGATCGTCATTAATGAAATCTTCAAAGACTACGTTATAGTTCTGAAATTTTGTTTTTTTTAATTAAATTTTAGAAAAACTCTTAAAAATAAGACTTGTAAAAAAATAATTTTTTAGAAGTCCGCAAACTTTATCCGCAAAAATCTCAAAAAAATTATTTAACACCCTAGCAGAATTAAATTTCCAGAAAATTTTCAAAATAAAACGAAACCTCCAAAAATAAACGTCCAAAAATATATTTATGTTCAATATTCATCAAAACTGTGGCCATTATTAATTGATGAAAAGCTGTACGTGCTGCCTTCCAAAGACGTCTATCAAAAAGTAAAAATATTGTAGAATATAGAGAATGGCCTTCATGTTCTTCAGACAAACATTCTTGTAATCCAAAACGATTCTTTACTTTTTTGGCCAATTTTGTATTGATGGGAGAAGTCAAAACAAAATTGCATTCAGAAGAGAGACAAAGCAATACTTCGCTAATTATTTGAGCGAGAATGGCTAAATTTAGAAAAATAATTAAAAAAAATGAGAGGAAAGAATAAAAAAATGCTCATAATTGAAATAAAAATACAAAAAATTTTAAACATAAAAAATTCGTTGCGGACATATTTTTGCGGACAAAAAGAAAAATAATAATAAAATAAAAAACTTACAACAATCCTGTGCTTGTTGACTTAACCAATTAATCAAACGAATCGCTAGCAGCTGAAGTCCTGATAGTGAAGAACGAAATACTTTTACTAATAGAGGGCCAGTTTTTTGTGTACGAAGATTTGCCTCTTTTCTTGTACGGTCCTAAATTTAAAAAAATTGCAAAAAATTAAAAGCTTCGAAAAACCTCAATTATCTGTTTAACTTCACTACATCTTTGACGAACACCTGTTTGTACAATAGAACGACCGTCTCTATCAACAATTGAAGCTATCATCATTGCTTTGTCATGGGCAACAAAAATGGCCAGTTTTAATGCACGGATGACCTAAAATTGAAATAAAATCCTCAAAAATTTTTCCAAAATTTCTACCCCCTCATAAGTATGTGTCTCATCATTAAAAAGAATTGTATGGCTAATTTCATCCTCTAAACGAATCCAATCAACATCCACAGTAGAAGGCAATTCTTCTGTCCGATCCCAACACAATACACTGACAGCAAATTTAATTGTAATTTGTGAAAGATGATGGAAACGATTGACCAAATTTGAAGGTAAACCATTATAACTTAAAAAGATTTTCTTTAATTTACAAAATCACTCAAAAAATACTCAATATTTTCAGTCTTTCCTTCTTCCATTTCTTCCTCTTCTTTAATTTTTGGAATATGAAGTTTACAAAAATAGTCATTAGACCAAGCTTCTATATCTCCACAATCACAATATCCACTACCCATAGAAGTGTGCATCTAAATAGAGGAAAGATTAGTAAATCAAGAAAATATTAGTAAACGATCGGAAAATAAAAACGTATAAGCCAAAAAATTGCTTCCCGTAGATCATTCCTAGTGTAAATTCCTAGTATAATTATCAGAGATCGAGCTGGGCCTGGGTTTTTCTTGGACTGTACCCAGTCCAGGCCAACGCATTTTTTGACCTTCATGAGTGTTTCTTAGGCCTGGGCTTTTTCTGGACTACAGGCCCAGAATTCGGTCCAGGTCAATAAATCAAAAACCCAGGAACAGGTCCAGGGTTTTCAAAAATCTCGATCGCTAATAATTATCGTCCAAAACTAATTACCACAAAACGAATTCATAAGAAAAAAAAACCTTGTATTTGTGATTTATATGTGCAGAATTAACAAAACATTCATAGCACAAAACACAAGTTCCATCAGTTGCACATTCCCTTCAAAATTAATTTAAAAAATGCCCTCTCTTTTATAAAAAATTAAAAAAATACTTGCAACTATAATTAGGTTCTCCATTTCTAAACATTCTTCCACAAATTCCACCCTTCGATTTTACATCCTCAACATTCACAATTTCATTTAATTTTCTCAAAGAAATATTTCGATGGCCTTCCTCTTTGACTTCTTCCTGGGCAGGAGTTCCAACACAAAACATTTGTGCCAGTGGATGAATAAGTTCATTATCTAAATTTTTGAGGGTAAATTAACTGACATTCCTTCCTTTAAAAACCAATTTTAACTTCATCCAAAAAATTATTCCAAGGCTCTTTTATTAGAGCAGGATAAACATCTTGTGCTGTACTAACCCAATGACGATAAAGTAGTTTTTCTGCTTCAGGCCAGCGTTCTTCTTGTGTAGCTTTTAATAATTGATCTATCATTTTCTCTAAAAAAATAAAAATTGTTAGTTAGTCATAATCGTTAAAGAAAAGGTTTTAAAAATAAAACAAAACCACTTAAAAAATAAAAAAAACAATGAGAAAAAAATTAAATAACAAAAAGGTGACATTTTCAGAAAATTTACAAAATGACATCATTCCTTTTTTACATTTCAACATATAAAATAAGAGGAAAATATCGTTGTGTCAACTTCCCGGTAACTATGTCAAAATGGTAAAAACATAAAGTATACATTTTAATTCGGTCAATAACGTTAATATTTACAGTAAATACACAAAAATGTTACCGTAACCCTTTGCGAACTTGTATTATTCAAAAAATAAACATTTTATTAAAAATTAAAACAAAATATTGAGAAAATTAATTAAAATCAAAATTAAGTTTTGGAGAAATAAAACTGTGTAAAAATATTTAATTAATTGACTAGCTAAAAAATATATGAGAACAAGGCAGAAAAGTTGAGGAAAACAGGAATTTGGTTTAAAATTTTTTCTTTTTAAAATTATTTCTTCCCATTTTCTTCAACTTTTTTCATTGAATTATTTTTAAAAAATATAAAAATGAGGAAATTGAGCATTTAAATAATTAAAAAATAATATTTTATGCTAGGCTTCAGAAATAAAAAATATTACGTAAAAAGAGGAGAGACAATGTCTAACCGTCTCCTCAATTTAAACACTATTTTTCTATTTTCTGATATTTAATAAGCCAGCATTAAAATATTTTTTTAATTTGGCAGAAAAAAACTGGCAGAAAATTTTTCCTAAAATTCTTTTCAAAATTTATATGTTTTTTTCACAATGTTGTAACCAAAAGTAAATCGCTTTCATCTCCATCAATATTTGCTTCTCTTCTTTGTTGTCCACTATTATTATTAGTTGTTTGTCCAAATTGGGCTGGTGAAGGAGGGGAATGAAGACGGTGTTGGTGATGGTGATGATGTAATAATTCATCTTCTGTTGCCGATTTTTCGTAGTCTTCGAGTAATTCTAAATCTGCTGGTCTTAGTAGATCGTGCTAAAAATTAAAAAAATTATTGGACTAAAACTACCCCTGTTTCTAAATAATTTTTGGATTAATAAACAACCACAACTTTCCACAACTTTTGGATTTGAATATTCTCTGGGATAAGCGTCGGATGCGGGACTGGGATAGTTGGTGAGGTTAAGAGCACCTATTTAAAACTGGCTAAATGCAGGTATATATGGGAGAGTCATTAGGAGAAGACATGTATTGGGACAAAAGAAAGGTAGGATGTTGGGAGTGGGATAGGATCTTGGGAGTGGGGTAGGATACAGATTGGAACATGAAAAATTAGCAAGAGTGGGACAAAAGTGAGTAGGAGGAGTATGGGATATGTGGGAATGTGTAGGGATAAGATAGAGATTTGGATAAAGAAAAGCCGGGACCTTCGGGATAAGGCAGAGAAGGACCCTGATTATGCCAAAGGTCCCTGATTTTCTTTATCTAAATCCCTTCTTTAAGCCCTCCCTTTCCTTCATCCTTACTTGAGAATATTGGTTAATATCACTAATTTGATCAGGCCCAATTCCACCCATATGTTCAAGAAAATAAGCAGCAGTTTGATCAATCTGTCTTTCATCTAATTGATATGCTTCTGCCATCTCCCTTCTAGCTACTTCAACTAATCTAGGGTCTGTATAGGGCCCTAACTGTAAAGCTTCCCCAACAAGTCTGTCAGCTAATTCGTGATGGTCTGGGCCAGAATAATAATTTTGAGAGGAAGAATGATGATTGGGGGTGGGTCTATAGCCACCATAAAATTGTTGTTGTTGTTGGTTGTTGTTATAGTAAGGATGTTGGGGTAAATGTCTGCAAATAAATAAATTTTTAGTTAAAAATTAGAATATTTAATTTTAATATTTTTGGGAGAGGCGCGTCTAGAGAAGATCCATACAGGATTCTTCGAGTTGGGAAATTTCTAAAAATACTTTTAAATAAATTTGAAATACTGCACAGTATCAAGGTCGAAAAAAGGAAGAGAAAGATCCAGATGGCTAGCATTTAAGACTCGTTGGCGGGGATCTATTAAAAGAGAAGGCGAAAGCAGCATCCCGGTACCTCAGTCGGTATAGCACCTGTACGTGGTAAGCAAAAACGCCTAGCAATGACTGCCGGGAGGTCGCAGAATCGAAGCCTGCCCGGAATTAAACTTTTACCTCGCTCTTACTGTCGAAAAAGGTTCGGGTTTCGGGGCTAGTTAGTTAAATAATTTCAATTCACCCTAACCCCATCTCTGGTTTCATTAAAAAAATTTTCTTTTGAAATTTATTTTTAAACTCCACACCTTTGCATATGAACAGCATTTGAAGTAGATTGACGAGGATATAATTCAATTGGACGTACAACTGTTCTAGTTGTTGGAGAATAAGGTAGACGGACAGGGCCGGTTGGATCAGGCCTTTTTTGAGAATTTTTTAAGGATTTATTTTTGAAATTACCTATAAGTCTCTTCATAACCATCATCATCTAACAGCCAATCCTCATTTAATAACCCAGCCATTGCAAATGCCTGATTTCTTGCCAAAGCTAACGGGCGCCTTAATTGTGGTCCATGCTGCAAGGAAAGGTTTGACGGTCCTACTAGTCCTCTTCTATTTCTATTTTCTTGTAAATCTAATCTTGTTCGTCGTTCATATAAATCTTCCTCATCCGAATCTGTTGGCATACTTTAAAAATTAAAAAAACTTTAGCCTTTAAAACGGGTTAGCTCCTTAAAATACCATTTTTCCAACCTAAAGTAGAAACCTAAAATTAAAGTTAGGAACAGTTACTACTGGTTTATTGAAAAAAATCAAAAAGCTTAAAGAAGCAGTTTAAGCCTGGATTTTTGCCATACATATAATAAAACACCCCCACAAGTAGGGTTGGGGACCCGGTTCGGTTCGATAAATCGAATCGGGCATTGAATTTTGGCCCGAAAAAAGCTCGACCGGTCCGGTTCGATAAAAATGAAGTCCAAAAGAATGACTCGAACGTCGGCCAGGTTCGAAAAATCCAACCCTACCCACAGGCCTTCTTTGATAAGCAAAGTTTAGCCCTTTCTCTTAGGCACTCCTTTTTCTTAGGAATTTATTCACACCTTCTATTAACAAAAATAAATCGTTGTGCAGCTGTAGTAGGCCCATATTGTTGTCCTCCATAAGATTGTTGTTGATTTGAAGGGGGAGGAGGGGGAACAGGACCATCCGCACTTCCACGAAATCCATTATTTACTCCACCAAGAGAAGAATCATTAGAATCATTTAGAGGTCTTTGAGAATCTGTCCTTTCTCTACGAGCCCCATAAATTGCTGCTAAATTGGGTAGGCGACGGCGACGATTGTTATTATTGCCGCCAATACGTGAGATACCATTTGGAGCAGATGAGTCTTTATAAAGGGGAAGTTGTTGTTCTGATGAGAGTTCTGGGGGCATTGCAGGGCTAAATTTATAAAAAAAATTTTGAAATTATTTTAAAAAGAGAGAAAATTTAATTAAAGGACAATCATTAGAGGTAGTCCATGGTAAGAAGAAAATTAATAAAAAATTCGAAAAAGAACCTAAAATCGTAGAATTTATCATAAATGTCTCCAATAGTGTTATCTATCTCCTCCAAAAATTTCAGAATTTTTAGTTGAGAATTTCAAAAGTTCTGATCAGAAGAAACAAAAATCGGTAATTTTCAAAAAAAATAGTAGGCGTTTCCGATTATAATTTCAGAAATACAAAATCAGAAATTCTGAAATTTTTAAGGATGTTAGATAACACTATTGGGGATATCTCTGGAAAATTTTATGGTTATAGGATTAAATTTGAATTTTTAAAAATTCGGTGATTAACGTATGTTCTCCACTTTCTCCCTTAAAATCCTCTTCACACACCCCCACCTCCAAAAAATTTTTTCCCGTTAAATTTATTTTATTTATTCCCTCTTTCCCTACCGTCCAATTAAAGCAATAGGTATTTCATCTGGATATTGTTGATTATGTGCTGCTTTATGTGATGGAGGTAAATTAACAGATTTATTTGTAGGCATTCCCCTATGCAATAAATGGGGAGTTGGAACTCCGTGATGGTATTCTACTGACATTAAATCTGCTGCGGCGATTGAATGTGTTGGAGAAAGACCTTCTTCTTTAATAAAAAATATTTTGAAAAAAATTTTTGAAGTTTTAAATAAAATTAAAAGTCAAAAGGGAATTAAATTTCGGGGGCAGGGTCAGTTCGCAAAAAGAAAATTCACCAAATAAAATTTTTAAGAGTGATTTTTTGTTAAAAATAAATCTAGATATGATTAGATAAAAAAATAGGAACGTAAAAAACGTAGAAAAATATTCTGAAGGCAGCCTCTCTAATAGAAAGGACAATTTGGTAGATACCGAAAGTTTTCGGTGAATCGTCTCTTCGGTGAATTGTTCCCAAAAATGGCTTAGATTTACACTTAAAATGCAAAAATCTAAATAAAGTGTCTCTCTTTCCACACTTAAAACCAAAAAAAGTCCTTTTAGCTTTAAAAGTCTGTCCATCAAGCGCCAAAAAATTTAAGACGTCTCTAGTGACAGAAAATTGTAAGAAGAAAAAAGGAACAGAAAAATTTTGGGGACAGAGGAGAGGGAGGGAAAGAAGGAGTTTTTCGACACTTTAAAAAATTAAAGAAGATGGACTAAATAGAAAAAATAAAAAAAGAAAAGTGTTTATGTTGAGGAAAATTTGGTAGAAAATTGGAAAGGGAAATTGAAAAAAAATGTGACAAAATTAAGCTAAAGTGACAAAAACTCTTCCAAAAAAATTTTTTTAAGGGGTGAAATGATGTGTTTATTTGTGATAAATAAATAAATTTTTAATGGAGTTGTTTATGAAGAAAAAAATTCTTCTCCAAGGTATGATAATTAGAATCCCTCTCATAAAGAGGGATTCAACCCAAATTAAAAACCCAAATTAAAAAATTCTCAGTTCTTCGGTTCGATTGCGAATTAAACCATTATTTAGTGGAGCCTTCCATTATTTAGGAAAAGAAGCAAATATAAAATTTACAAAGGAGAGGAATCTAAAAATGATACGAAGGGAATCTGTTTCTTAAGTAATTAGTAGAGATCGGCCTGGGTCTGGACCAAGGCCTGGGTTTTTCCTGTACCCAGAGTCTAGGTCCAGGCATTTTTTGACGTTCCTGGGTTTTTTCTGGGCCTGGGTTTTTCCTAGACTACAAGGCCCAGGATCCAGTCCAGGTCAAGAAATCAAACTCCAGAGTCCAGGAACAGATCCAGGCTTTTCAAAATTTCCGATCTCTAGTAATTAGTAAATCCAAAAAATTTATTTAAAAATTTAAAATTTTTTTCTTCCATTTTCTAATGTCAAAAATAATAAATTAACAAAACAAAAATTATTTTTTGGTCAAAAAATCCAAAAATGGAAAGGCAAAAAGGAAAATTTTTAAAGAGAAAATAATTAAAAAATAAAGAAAATATATTTATGTTTTATGAGAAAAAAAAGAAAAATCCCAAAATTAGCTTTAAAAAAAGAAAAAAAATAAATTAATGTGTTAATTTAGCATAAAATGATTAATGAAAGGAAAAAATTTTTTTTAATTAATTTTTGGAATTTTAGAAAAAAAAATATTTTTTAACCAAAAAATAAAAAGGGAGCAGGCCAACTTACCGCAGAGGCTTCCTATTAGATAAAAAAATTCTTCGTTCAGAATTGTCAAATCTGGGACGCCTTGGTATGGTTCGATGCGCCTCGACGAGCTGAGTCGAACCACACCAGGTCGTCCCAAATTCAACAATTCTGAAAAAAAGTTATAGCTCTGCGGTAAGTTGGGGGTAATAAAAGGTAAAGGTTTAACACAAAAATTGTAATTTAATTCTTTTTTTATTTTTTTGGCATTTTCTCTCATTTAAATGTTAAGTAAATAAATAAAAATATTTACTTGAAATAAATATTTTTTTTGAAAAAATTTTTCTTAGAAGGAAATATAATATTTGTGTGAAAATGTTAAGAAAAAAATATATTTATTTAGTCAGACTTCCTCTTAGATAAAAAATTCTGCCGTTAAAATGAAAGTGATAGGGGTGACACTACTATAGTGAGAGGTCTGACTGTCAAAGGATGGATGGACTCTGACCCTTCGGGGTAGAAAAGTTAGGGATCGGAGTTAGACAGGATTGGGACTGAACGAGTCCGGTTTAATAGAAAAAAGGATTGTAGACCCGAGAGTTCCAAAATAATTATCTTCAAAAATTTTAAATTTACTGTCCCCCCCCTCCCAAAAATTAAATAAAAACCCACTTTTCAAAGGCATCAATTTTCGTTGTTCCCACCCTTCACCACCTATTATAACTGCCCCATCAGCTTCAGATTTATCTCCAATTGTTTTATCTGTTGTTGGGCTACCGACTGCATCTGCTGATGTTGGACCTCCCAAGGCGTGTACAATATTATTGAAGAGAGAATGAGTTCGCTAAAAGAGTATTTTATGAATTTAATGTTTTAAAAAATGGTTGGGCGCGTAGTCAAAAATATAGAGGCTGGTCGAGGTAGGGATTTTTTTAAAAAACGAGGCCGAGGATCACCGAGTCAGGAAAAGCCGATATCAAGGTAGAGGGGCAAATTTGGGCCGAGGTACTCGGCCTCGGCGAGGCCTCGACCAACTCTAGTCATAAACAGGATTATTGGTTCAGAAATGTTGAGGATTCTTCGGTTCGGTCCTACATATATACATATTTGTCAGAAATTTTCATCTCGAATATCGGTTCGCTTCTTCAGTTAGTCAGAAAATTTCAGTTCTTGGCTTCTTAGACTTGTGAAATTCCAAAAATTTTCGCAAGCAGCGCTAGGAATGAAACGAAAACTTTTCCGTGCCCAGACTTCTCAGCGCCCAAACTTTCCCCCTCAAAAGTATACCCTATGTTGAGGTTCTTCCGATTCAAGTACAAAACCAGGATCGAGAGTCCCACTAATCGCTCTTTTCAATTCTGGCCCAATTTCGTGTAAAGTTCTTAGGCCAGCTTGAAGTGCCATTGCGTGAGTATTTGGCGCAGCCATTCCTTTTGCTTCCAATTCTTTTCGTTTTTTAAATCGTCGAAAATAATCTTGAATTAAAAATGTTGCGTAAAACTTTCCAACAGTAACTTCATCGTCTTCTAAAAAATTTTTTTGGAAATTAAAAAAAAATATTTTTTTTTGTTTTCACTTCCAGCTGGAGGAACAACTTCATCAAGCAATTTAATTGGTGTACGCTTCCAAATTCGTCGAATAGCTGATCTTAGCTGTTCATTTGCTTCGTCTATATTTCCATCAGTGTAAATTTTTAAATTTGTGCGGACCAACTGAAATTAAAAAAAATTTTTTTAATTAATTTAAATTGTTCCCTAAATATTTTTTCGATAGTTTTAGAAATTCCCTAATTTTACTTGCGAAAATAATTTTTAAATAAAACTAACAGCAAAGAGCGTAGCATTAAAACAAACAGTTCCATCTAAATTAAAAAAATACTCGTTGAAAATTTAATTATTTAATTAGTCGAGTCTAATTTTTAGATACACCTTACAGACTGAAAAATAATAGTATGAGGGGTATTTTTGATTTGCTTTGAGGTTAATGATGGATGGAGATGTGAGTTGGGGGGAGGTATCGTTCAGGAAACTCACTCGTTTAATGGCGGATCAGAAGATATCGAACAATTTTCAGTACGGATATCGGATCTGAATATGCAGGGATTTCTCTGGATCCGCCAACCCCGCTAGTTCCTATCGAATTTTAAAAACCCTATCCTAAATTGAGAATCACCTAATTATTAAGAGTACCCAAAAACGAGGGCTCAACTATATTAAAAATTTTCTGAAAAAATTACCCACCACTATTTAAAGGCATATTCATAGAAACAAGCCTTTTACAGGCCAATCTGTGTGGACACAATTTACCAAACCCCAAAGGAGGCGAAATCTTTCTTAAAAGGGTAACAACATCCAAATGTTTAATCCTTCCTTTAGCATCAGGGTCATATTCAGACCACAAACGAACAAATTCTTCTAAATGATGAGGTCCAAGAATTGACCAATCACGAGTTAAATAATCAAAATTATCCATAATAACAGCAACAAAAAGGTTAATAATTAGGAAAGAACAAAGCATGAAGAATGAAATAAAGTAAGGGTAGGCGAAATTGACACCTTAAAAAATTTTATTCTTGGAATTTAAAAAAATTTATTTTTAATGCTGGGAATCAGGATAAGTTTATTGAAGGAAAGCATGGGATATGAAGAAGCTGGTGAGATATAGGAGAAGATTGGGATAATAAAGTCGAGAATAGACTATGGTGAATCGAAGAATCAAAACATTCGAGTATCTCCCTGTTAATCTTATCTCATCTAAAATTTTTCATAACTAGAGACGGATGGGCCGATATGAAATCTTGAAAAAAATCATGAATATCGAGCTCAGGATTTTTATTTTGTGTGATACTCCGAGTCCGGTCACTAAACCAAACACACTTTATATTATCTTATAGGAAGTAAAATGCCCCAATCTCAATTTTATCCACACATAATATTCCTCTTAATTATCTCTCAATCAGCATTTAACTCTACCGATGTTTTAGTTCAGCATATAAAAAATAAAAAAAACTTAAAACTGACCACATCCAGCATTTGGATCCTTTTTGTAATCATCACTAGCTGGATCACATTTTACATCCTTAAAAAATTAAAAAATAAATTGGTATACAAAAAGCCTGTTTTACTCACCTCTCTATCAGAACATGCCAACATAATTTCTTGCCAAGCTTCTCCTGTTGCTGATCTAATTTTAATTTATTTTTTGAAAATCTAAAAAATTTCTCTACCTAAAAAGAACAAGTACAGCAGCAGGAAATGTATGGAAATTATTATTTCGATGTATTTGTGTATCATCATCTAGCGCTACTTTACCAAATACTTGCATTCCAATTACTGCATAAATAAAGAATAAAAGGACAATCAAAAGTGCAACATAGGGTAATGCCTGGAAGTTTAATTTAAATTTTAAAAATTTAAAACAGTTTAAAAAATATTTTTCAAATAGGTCTCCTTCATCTTTAAGGATTCACTAATTTATAAAACTCCTAAAAGAGCGCGAGATTATTTTCTTTAGTGAATCAATCTCCTCCCGTATATTTAGACTAGAGCCCGGAATTTTGTGCTGCATGGTATTCCGTCCGGGCTCTATTTTAGATCATAGCAGGAAATGTGCCGTCCCGATTTCTCGAATCCGAGAATTTATTTTTTTGTAAACAAGTTCCCTAACTCAATAGAAATGAGGAGGAATATGTTCCAAGAGGAAAAAATGTTCCCAGTCTATACTTTTACCAGTGCTGGGTATGCCTTCAGGAACTAGCTCCGGAGCCGACTCAATCCGGAGCTAATCTCAATCCTCAATCCGGAGCCGGCTCCGGATTTTAAGATCCAGAAGCACGGAGCCAACAAATGCCCAATACCCAGCACTGACCTTTACCTTTGGCCAAGTAAATTATTAGCTCCCCTTGAGTGTTAATGAAATTATTGTTCCATAAAAACTTTTCAAATTTCAAAAAAATATTTACTATTTACCTGAAAAGACTTCATAAAAGTCCACAAAAGCGTTCTAATCCCCTCTCCTCTACTCAACAACTTAACAAGCCTCATTACTCGAAAGAGACGAAAAAAATTAATTGAAATTATATTTGTCCCCGTTCCACCAATTTTTCCATAAATAATATCAATAAAAGAGCCGAGGACAATAACAAAATCAAAAGAATTCCACCTATCACCAAAATAATTTTTTGGGTTTAAAGCGATAATTTTGAATAAAGCTTCGAAGGCAAAGACACCAGTAAATATTAAATTGAGAATATCGAGAATATGGTCCATTTGAGGGTCTAAAAATTGAGAAAAAAATTAATTTTATAATTTAAGAATTTCAAAAAAAAATTTAAAATTTTTTAGAAAACCAAAAAAATTTTCAAAAAAATTTAATGGAGCTGAAGGGGATCGAACCCTTGCCTTCTCGCATGCAAAGCGAGCACTCTACCACTGAGTTACAGCCCCTGACGTTGGTGATTATTTATTTCTCTTTAAAAGCTTGTTTTCTAACTCAAAAAAGTTGGATGGTTTTATTAATTTTATTTTGGAAGGAAATTAAAAACCTTTTCAATTTTTTATTCTAAATAAATTAACAAAATAAAAAATTTAAGTCGAGAGGGGCTGTAACTCAGTGGTAGAGTGCTCGCTTTGCATGCGAGAAGGCAAGGGTTCGATCCCCTTCAGCTCCATTAAATTTTTTTGAAATTTTTAAAAAATAAAATGAGATTTATTAATTTTTGTTTTTACATTAAAAAAATTTTCTGATTAGAAAATATTTTGGTATTATCACATTATCCCCCCCCCTTTACATTAGGAGGGGAGAATTAATCCCGCAACAAATATTTAAAGAATATGGCTATTTAATTCTTAAAGCTAGCTGGAGGTTGCGTGGTTAATGCATAACTATTGGAATATAAAATCCATCAATCATGTATTTACACAAATAATTACAAATTTTTTATTACTGCGCTAACATTAAAGGAGCATTTGAGCAATTTCTCACTAAACATTTAATGGAAAATAAAATTTAGTCAAATGTGAGGGGCTGTAACTCAGTGGTAGAGTGCTCGCTTTGCATGCGAGAAGGCAAGGGTTCGATCCCCTTCAGCTCCAGGAATTTTTTTTCGAAATTTTTTATTAAAACAAAAATTAAAGCACCTGGCGGGTAATGTTTTAAAGCCAAAGTAGTTGTGTTTAGCACTAAAGAAAATAAAAAAAAAATTTTTTTTATTTAATTAAAAATTTACTAATAATAATAAAAATCGCATATTCAAAAAATTGTGATGTTACAAACCACCAAACTCTATATTGGAAACGATTTCGAGGTATATAACGTCTATGTGGTTTTGCTTTGAGTGCAAATTCTGAGAAGAAAATTTCAAAAAATTAAAAAAAAATTTTTTCTTCTTTTCTACCTATACATTTTCTTTGATTTTTGTCCAATTCACAATTTTCGTATTCCCTTTCTCCTTCATTTTGGAATGTTACAATAACAAAACCGACGAAGATATTCATCATAAAGAAGGCTATGACTACAATGAAGGCCTAGAATTTTTGGAAAAAATTTTTAAAATTAAATTTTAATTCAATTGAATGGAAGGGATTGGCATTTTGGCCTCGTTAACGCTTGGGCGCGGATTAAAAATTTTATGAAAGATGATAGCATAAAATTCTGAAATTTAGCACTAATACATATACTCAAGAGTGTTAACTAACTTCTCTAAAAATTTTAGAATTTTTGGTTAATTATTTTAAAAGTTATGGTCAAAAAAGTAACAAAAATCGACACAAATATTAATAAATAAGGGGCATTTTTAATCAGAATTTTCGAAAATATTTAATCAGAAATTCTGATATCTTTAGAACAATTAAATAACACTATTGAGAATATCCCAACAAAATTTCACCACCAAATTTTAAAATTAAAAAATAATTTACAATAAAGAATATAGCCACGGGCTGTCGAGCATTATAAACAGGACCCCGATCTTCCTCATTAGAATTTATTGCAACATATAAAAGGTCTGGCCATCCTTCGAATGTTGAAACAACAAATAAAGAAATCATTGCATCCATTACATTATCCTAATATTAAATATTGGGAAAGTTTGTTAGAAAAAATGGAACAGTGGAAATTATATGGATGGCAGTTCTTAGTTAAAGCCTTTACAAATTACTAGAGACCGATCAAATGCCAAAATCGAGGCTTTGATCACAAATAAAACTTAATTGATAAATTATAAATTAGTGAATTTCTCCCATCCATGAACCTCCTCTCACCAGGGTTGCGTCGTAATTACGAATTACGATTACGAAAAAAAATTTCCGATTACAATGAAACTCTGCTCCTCACCCTGGAGGGAACTCATTTTAACTCAGACCCAGATATCTGAGATAATACCGTCATGATTCTAGAGATCTGGAATTTATTTTGGTTTTGGGGTTGAGAATAACTAGTCCCGAAATTGGAGAATTTATTTTTTGTCCCTCTTTCAGCCCGGAAGGAAATCTCGATCAAAAACCGTGGTCATCAAAACGGAGATTTTCCATTAATCATTATAGGGATGTCGGTTCTGGATCGACGAATCGAAGAACCGAGAATTTTTCGGATCGGTTCTTCGGTTCGGTTCCGGATATCCGAAGATTTCCAAAAACCGACAACCCTAGATCATCAAATTTCCTTCCAGTCTCTCTCCAAAAAACTCACAAAATGAAAATCAGCTCGTTGCCAAACCCTTTTCATGCTAACAGGCTTTGTTGGATCTCCATCCTCAAAAGTAATAAATTCCCCTCTACATTCCATTTCTGTCATTCTAGAAGGATCATTACAAGAAAAGAAAGTTCCTTTAAATAATTGAACACCGATAATTGCGAACATAAACTTTTGGGAAAATTAAAGAAATTAAAGAAGATTTTTCTCCAAAATTTACTTGAAGCATAAATGTAACCAACATAATATTCCCTATTGTTTTGACAGCAACAATAACACATTGAACAACATGTTTTAAACCTTTAGCTCGATTTATGGCACGTAGAGGACTGAAACGAGAAAATTTTTGGGGGATTAGGATTGATTAAAAAATTATAAAAAAATTTTTATGGAAATTTCAGGATTTCAAAAATTTTCAAAAAAAATTTTTAGAAAATTCCAAAAAAGTTTCATAAGAAAATTTTCAAACTTTTAAAGAAATTTTTTTGAAAATCACAACAAGGGTTGGACCCAACACCTAACTTTTCGACAAGAGGGTCGTAGTTCGTAATTTCACTGCATAAATTTTTTGGAAATTTCAGGATTTGAAAAATTACAAAAAAAATTTTCCCAAAAATTTTTTTGTAAAATTTCAAAATTTTTTTGACTCAAAAATTTCACAAAAAAAAGTTCCAAACTTTCAAAGGAATTTTTTAAAAATTACAACTAGGGTTAGACTCCGACCCCTAACTTTTCGATCACAAAGTGACAGGGTCCAACTCTTTCTCAACTACCTAAGAAATTAAAAAAAAATTTTTTTGGATAAATTTTTCCCTAAAAATATTTTCCTTACCGTAAAACCCTCAAAACACGCAAAATCTTAACAACAGAAATTGCATCAGATTTGAGAACAAAAGAAATTAAAGAAACAGCAACAACCAAAATATCAAGTAAATTAAAAGCATTTCTACAAAAAGAGCCTTTATGCAAAACTAAGCCATAAACAATAACTTTTAAAGTTATTTCCACAGTAAATATTGTTGTGAAGAAATAATCAAAATAATTTAATATTGTATTTCGATAGGATTGAGCCTACAATTTTTAAAATTAAAAAAAAATTTTTTTGGTAAGAGGTGGAGAAAAAAGGAAAGGAACAATCTATCACTTAACGTGGACATAAAATTATTTAATGAAGTTTCTTGTAAATTTTAAAATCTTCTAATTTCAAAATTAAAACAAAAAAGATGAATCGAAAAAGAATGGTCTGGATTATAGTAAAAATATAGAAAATGAGATCTTTCTTTTTCAGAAAACTCTGAAAAATTTTAAAGTAGCTTAGAATTCTGTTTGGATTTTTGCGTTATTTCTGGTTGATTTCTTTTATCCTTTGCATCTTTCCTTCCTCTTTTAAGTCAAAAAATTTTTTTCTAGAATTTTTAAAATTACAATTTTTAGTATGTCAGAAGTCTAAAGAGCCTAGAGGTCTTAGTTAGTCATTCCAAAAAATAAATTTAAAAATGCCTGCCTGTAAAGGATCCTCAGCGGCAAGCATAGCAGAAGACACCAAAATACAAATCAAAACAGAATTTGTAAAATAAGAATGATTAATAATTCTATTGCAAAATAATCGGAAAGGGTTTGTGTGTGAAAGAAGAAATAAGGAAGAAGCTTTTGGTATTGGCTTTTGTTTACTTTGTCCAGTTAAATGGGAGGCCTTTAAAATTTAAATTTAAATTAAAATCCTTGAACTTTAATTGTTAAAAAATAGTCAGAAAGCGTATAAGACTATGAAATAAAATATCCTTAATTATGAGGGAGTAACCAGAAGTCTGGGGGGAAAATGGAAAAATCTTGTTCTAGGATTGATAAAAAAATTATTTTTCGCCTAAGGCCCTTTTAAATTAAAAAAAATATATCTGCAAAAAATAAAAATCGGTAAAAGTAAGGCTAAAAGGTTTGGCGTTATAGCCATATTATAGCCCTCAGAACTCCGACCTCTAGATCCCTTACCCAATTATATTATCTAAATTTTTTGAATTTTTAAATATTTCAGAATTTGAAGTTAATAAATTATTAAACGCCTTCAAACTTTTCAGAAATTATTATCTAAAAAAATCATCTTTCTTACCCTTCTCGGTCTAGCCCCAACAACCACTTCATCATTAACTTCCTCCCCATCCCCACCAACTTCATCATCCCCATCCTCTCCATCCCCTTCCAAATCCAACCCATCCTCATCTGTTTCTCCATGTTCATACTCCCCTTCCTCGTATTCCCCCTCAACTTCCATTTCATCTTCTTCTCCCGGTTTTGCATTCATTACTTGATCCGCTTCTGCCAAATTATCTACAGCAATGGCCAAGAAAACATTTAACAAAATATAGTTTCCGCAAATAAATAGAACAATAAAATATATTGATACAAGCATTCCAAGCTTTAAAAAAATAAAAAAAAATTTATTTTTAAATTAATTCCCCTCTCTAATATTTTTTAAATTGACCCAATGCTTTAAAGCTTCTTATTTATATTTTTGTTCATATTGGCTTGAATTTTTTATATAATTATTTAAAGAGTCTAAGTAGTTTGTCTTTGGACACCCCTAGAGAAACAAGGCAATGTCAGTCGGACCTTCATATAAGATAACCCCAATATTACCCCAGATAACCCCACAATATCCACTGTTCAAGAAACACCCTCATTATAAAAGACTTCAGCCCAACAGTACAACTTAAAGGTCCTGCCTTGTCTTATAAAGACACAATCTCATCAAAATTTTAAATTAAAAATCAAAAAATTCACCGATCCAATCCCTCCATAACTCTCAATTCCATTATACATTACTGTATTCCAATCCTCTCCCGTTAAAATTTGAAAAACTGTAAGTAGTGATTGAGTAAAAGTGTCAAAGTTTGCTCGAGGTTTCTAAAGGGGAAATTTAATTTATTTAAAGTGGCCACTCTCTAATAGAGAGGCAGGAAATTTAAAAATCTTTTACCGGTCTCATAGGGTCATAATTAAAACGTCCACCAAATACTTGCATTCCCAGAAGAGCAAAAATAACAATAAAAAGGAATAAAAGCAAAAGTAGAGAAATTATAGAACGTAGAGAAGAAAGTAAGGAGGTGATTAATTGACTCAATGAAGCCCAATACCTATTAAAAAATTTAAGTTGGGAACTATTTTTGGACTTAATTTTATGACCAAAACACTAGCTAGAACTAAAGCTGTGGTCCTTTATTAAGAAAAAATCTATTTTCTTGAAAAGTTAAATCCTAATAGATCGTCCAAATAAAAAGAGTTTAGTTTCCAGTAGGCATTAATCCTGTGTAAGGTTGTCGGTTCTGGACCGAACCGAAGAACCGATGATTTTTCAGTTCGGTTTCGAATATCCGAAGAATTTCCATAAATCGACAACTCTAATCCTGCGGTCTCCTGCTTTATTTAAACAAAAAATCTTTTACTTTGTAACTTTAAATATTCTTAAAAGACGTGCCGAACGCAAAACAGAAATACCCAAAGGTTTCATAAATTCAAAATAAACCAAAACAAATTCTATAATTGAAGAGATTACAATAAAACAATCAAAACGGTTAAATTGGCTGTTCATATACTGCAAAAAATTGAAGAAAATTAAATGATTTAAAGTATTGCTTAAGATGATCTCCTTTTTACTACCAACCAAATCCTTCCTAATAAAAATAAAGGCTTTTTGAGACACTTCCTCTAAAAACCCCCTATAAAGGCTCATTCTCTCTCTCATAAATAAGACTCTCATTCATTCCCTATAAAGTTGCTGGCTCCAGGTCAGAAAAAGAGTCCATCTGAAAGACATGCCGAATGCACATAGATACCCAAAGGTTTTCGATTCAAATATCGGATCTAGTTATCCGGAAATTCCCAAAATTTGTCAACCCTATTCCCCTAGGTTTTTTGCTTGTAGAAAATTTTCTTTCTTTCAATTTAAAATACCCATAAGAATTAAAAAAATTTAAAACCCCCTCACTTGTAACAATCCAAGAGAATACATTTTTAACAACATTTCCATTGTAAACAAAATAACAAAAAATAAATTTGCACCAGTTTGAAAATGATCTAACCAGGGTTCTTGTCCATAATGTTCGGATGTTAAAACAAGAGTATTTAAAAATACTAAGACAATTACTAGCCAATAAAACTACGGAAAGGATATTTTTAGATAAAAGTTTAATTTGTACATTACCATTTGTGATTTAACCATTCTCCTACATCCTCGCCGACACCTTCTATTTAGCCTTTGAAGGAAACGCCATTGAACTATTAAGGCAGAAGACCGTTGTTGTTCTTAAATATATTTTTAAAAAATTATTAGGAAAAACGATATGTGAGCTTAGCTAGCACCGGAGAGGGACTATTCTGTGACCTCTTGGCAGTGCTAGGCATATTCATTAGGTGAATGTGGCACAGTTCAGCACTAGGTACACTCACCACATACAGGGGCTCTACTGACTAGGATTAACTAATCAGGATATGGATCTAAAAAAGTCTGGGAATATGGGGATTTCCTACAATCCTCCAACCCTACTACCGAATGATCTACCGGGTCGCTGTTTTAACCTCTTCTCTATTAAAGAGCCTAAACCTCCCCAGTAAGCGGTTTAAATGCTGGATCTCTATTTTTCCAAACAATATCATGAATAATTTTAATGACATCCATGGTGAGCGTTTATTAGAATAACAATTCAAAACTTCCTCACCTTCAACTCCCTGCTCTTCACCATCCAAAACCCCATCCCCATCCAAATCACCCCCAATTCCACCACCAACACCCCCAACCAAATGTTCATCACCCCCGTGTTCATCATCATCATTTAATTGTTCAATATCCTCTGCTTGAGTTATCCAATCCAAATAACCTTTCAAATCTTCCTCCAATTGTTGTTTTTCTCTAAATTTTTGGAATAATCCTCTAGCATTCGCTTTTTCCCTTTCTTTTGAAAATTCTCCAGAGAGAACACCCAAAACTAAGTTTAGAACGAAAAAGGAGCCGAGAATGACTAATGTTACAAAGTATATCCATGGCCATTCACGACCAACTGCATCGTTTACCTGCAAGAGAAACATTAAATTAATTCGAATCACATAATTTAATATAGTATGTACATCTCTCAATTTTTGCTACACCTCTATTTAGTCGATATCCTCTATTTACTAAAATACACTTCATTATAAGATACACTCTATTTAAGACACCTCATTACAAGACACCCAATATTGGATACCCTCTATATAAAGGACACATCATTATAAGATACATCCAATACTAGAAACACCTCTATTTAAGCGACACCTCTATATAAGATCGTTTTTACAATACCCTCAATTAAAAATACCCTCCTTATAAGGTCGATTTTTCCGACCCTAAGGGGGTACTTTATAATCAACAACCCTCTACTCACCCAATACATAACATCAGTCCATCCTTCCAAAGACACACATTGAAATACCGTTAACATAGCCAAACCAATATTATCAAAATTAGTTATTCCATTATTTGGACCCTTTAAAAAACAATTTTTTAATTAAAAAATTTATTCTTTCCAAACCAGCCATGTTGTATTAGGTGAACATATCCATTTATTATTTCTGGCGTGTATAGCTGAGGAAAATGAGGACGGTTCGCAATGATATGCACTTGGGGCTAGTCCACAAGTCTTTAGAAAAATTTTAAAAATAATTTTTTGTGTTTTACATTTGTATTTTCTCGTATTTTTGTGTTTTTATAATTTTTGTGTTTTGTATTTTCTTATATTTTCGAGTGTGTTTTTGTGTTGTATTTTGTGTTTTTTTTGTGTTTTTCTGAATTTTGTGTGTTTTGTATTTTCGTGTATCTGTGTTTTCTGTATTTTGTGTTTTTGCGTATTTTTCTGGGTACGGCCCACTTTGTCGCGCGGCCACATTGTCGCAGAGCCATAACTTCCTTCAAGTTTTCCGAATCTTTTCAAATTTAGTATTAAACGATTCCTCTCATCGAGCTAAAGAGATTGGTACTAAAATTGATAAGGGCCAGAAATTTTTTAGCAAGTTATGGCTCTGCGACAATGTGGCCGCGCGACAAAGTGGGCGTGTCCCTATTTTTCTGTGTTTTGTGTTTTTCAAATTTAAACTGACCGAAGGCTCTTTTTGTGCAAATTCTCCATTAGAAGTATCCACACTTTAATAAAAATTAATTTTTTTAAATAAATTTTCAAAATCCCCCCTAACCAAGTCGAATGTAACTTTCCACAAAACAATTCCAACCCAATAATTGCATAAATTAAAATAACAAATAATACAAGCATTGCAATATGTAATAAAGGTATCATTGCACGTAAGATAGCGTTGAGCACAACTTGTAAACTTGGAACGTTAGAAACTAATCTTAATGGTCGGAGAACACGAAAGGCACGAAGAGCTTTGACGTCAAATGCTTGGACGTTGATTCGAGAAAGTACTGTGCTGATTATTCTGTTTAAAAGGAAAATTCTGATGTTTAAGAGATTCTGATTTTTTAAAATTCTGATTTTTAGAATTCTGGACAAAAAATTTCTGATTTAAGTTCTGACTATTAGAAATTCTGAAGAAATTCTGATTTTAAAAAATTATGAATTTTAATAAATTCTGATTTTTTAGAAATTCTGATTTCCAAGAAATTCTGATTTTTAGGAAAATTCTGATTTCTAAAAAATTCTGATTTTTAAAAAAAATTTCTGATTTAATTTCTGACTATAAATTCTGCTTAGGTATTCAAAGAATTCTGATTTTTAAAAATTCTGATTTAATAATTCTGAAAAAAATTCTGGTTTTTAAAAAAAAATTCCCCACCCGATAACAACAATAATAAAGTCAAGAATATTCCAAGCATTTCTCAAATATGCTCCCGGATGAAGTAAAAATCCAAGTGCAATAACTTTAATTATACATTCAGCAGTAAAAACAACAATAAATAAATATTCCAAATTCTCCAATACTGTATTTTTTGTATCTGAATCTTGCATTGGATAAGGCTGGTAAACGGCAAGGGCTATGCAATTGGCACAAATCATCTTTTTTTAAAAAGAGGAAATTAATTTTTTTGGAAGGAAATCTCTTTATCTTATCCCAGTCAATTTGCTCTGATATCGCTCTCTCCTATATTCCACTTCTGTCTTATCCTACACACTCTTAGATACCTCAATCAGAATGTTCCTCATGTCCCTAACCTATCACACCTTTTTATTCGTCCAAATCTCCCATTTACCCCTGTCTAACAATGCTCTTGGGAACTGAGAAAAAACTTTTTAAAATTCCAACCATAAGTATTAGCCATTCAAAAGGTCTCCATTCAGTGATAGATATGCAAGCTCTCCTTAAAGGATTTTGCACTGTAAGACACAATAGAGAACGTTCATTGCGTTCAACAGGAGTTTGCCTTAAAGGCTTTCTAGATTGCATTCTCCGTCGAGATTCTGGTTGTGTGGTGGCTGCAACGGCCGCCTAAAATAGAATTTTTTTGGAGAATTTTTTCAAAGAAAATTTTAAATTTTCAACCCCCCCCCCTCCCAGTAATCACCTGTAATGTTTGTTGCCACAAATCTGCTCTAGCTGCTGATGGTTGTTGCCCCACAATCCCAACAGAAGCAATATTCCCCGCCCCACCAACCGGTTGATTACTTTCCAAATAAGCTTGATTAAAGCCGGGAGGAGGGGGACGTCCATTTGGACTATTATTAACCCCTTCCTCCATTTTTAAATATTGGAAGGAGGTAGGGAATTAATTGCTGCTAAACTGTGGTAAATTTAAAAAATAAATTATGAGGTTAATAATAATATTAAAAAATTATTTTAATAAAAATGAACGAATTTTTATTCACTTCCTTTTATAAAAGTCAGTAAAAAAATTTTTTTGGAAGAAAAAAGTTTAACTTCCTAAAACGCCAGCTTCTGATTTTTATAAATTATTTAGAGCATACCCAGAATAATTTTTTGAATAAAAATTGATAGTGTATGTATCTTTGGGGGAGGAGGGGGCTATTTTTAAATAAATAATTAATTACTTAAAACGGATGATCTCTTATCAATAAATGAAAAATAAAGAAGAATTAAGAAGTGGCATTAACGGGCAAGTTTAAAATCTGCGGAACTCCTCAGTAAATTAAAAATAAAAAATAATTTTGGGAATTTTGGGAATTTTAGGAATCATAAAAAAATATTTTGGAGGTATCACAAACAAAAATAATAAAAATAAAAAATAAAATATTACAATTGTTTTTGGCACTTTTTCTTAAAAAATACCCTTCCCTTTCCCCCCCCCCCCCCCCAGAATTCTCTAACCACTCTCTTATTTAACTCAAGTCTTTTTTAACATGTCCGGGTATTGAGTAAGAGAAAATGAGGGAAAGACTGCCAATATATTTCTCGACTGGCTTTACGAGGCTAAAATATATGTAGAGAAATGGCGGATCAATAGGCAAGATAAAAGAGGTAAAAGAGAGGGAAACGGAGGAGATATTGGCTTATGCTGGGATTTCCTCCTTTGCATTTATTTTTTGAAAAAAATATTATTGGTATATTTGCTTTTGCTTGTTGCATATTTTTTGGAAAGATTTTTAAAAAGAAATTGAAAACCTGAAGAAATCAAAAAGAAAATTTCTATGGATTGAAATAACCCGACAGGGAAACCATCTTTTACTGCAACTGCGAATTTGGTTTTTTTTTGGTACCATTCGATAAAGGACCCCCGACTCCCTATTGAGAAGTGATATCCGTTTTCTTGCAAAATGACTTTTGGCTGAGTATGGCCGTTCAAAGTTTCAGTTTCTGGGAGGTTTGCAAAAGCGGGAAGAGAAATGAGATGTTTCAATTACAATTACCCTCTCTCAAATGATTGCCCTTTCTCAATTAATTATCCTCTATAGAAAGAGGTTGAAACAATAATTACCCAGGGTAATTATTTGAGCATATACGGTAACCGTTTTATTTATTGGTAGGGGTTTTACGTCTCCATAAACAGATTTCTTCAAAATGTCTTTGCAAAATCAACCCTTTTCTCGAAAGAAAAAACAAACAAAAAGAAAAATAAATTTGAGGAACGCCAACTTGATACAAAGCTTTTGAAGCCAATGAGGGCAAAAACAAGAATTGGGGCTTCCTTTTCTTTATTTACTAAGCATGCAAGCACCAAAACTCAATCCATCATAAAGCAAGGGACTTTGTAATTTTCTTGGGGGGAATGAGGGTGGAGATGGATCTCCGTTACTCTTATTTATTGACTTTTGTTAATACTAGTTGCTTTTGTTAATAACAAATTTTTTTGAAAATTAACTTGACCCTACCTAAAATTAATTTTGGGATCATAAAGGTCAAATAGGGGATTTGACTGTAATTTTAAAAAATTCAACTAATGTAAAGCATATGTAGTTATTTAATTCCTAAGGCTGTGCAGTAGGCGGCGTGGTTTAAAGGCTAACACATCAGTCCAGTCTACTGAAGGATGCTGGTTCGCTCCCAGCCGCCGAATAAGCTTCGCACTAGCTAAGGAGAGAAATAGCTGAAGCCCAGCTACTTTACTCTACATATTTTTGTTTGATCGGGAAGAATTATTTTTCACTAATAAATTATTAAAATTTAAATGACAGATGAAAATTCAGACTAAACATAAGCTATACCAACCAATGCCTTCTCATTAAAATTGACAAAAAACACGCAAGAAAAATAATTTTTTTCGCGTCAATGCCATTAGTCTCTTTTTACTTTTAGTGCCAGAAATAATAATCCTTTAAAGAGAATATTAATGAAGGTATTTATTTCCATTTAAAATTTTAAGAATTAAAAGAAGCCCTGTAAAAGATATTTTTTAGAAATGAAAATATTTTTAAATAAGTCGAAAACTATGTCTGTTATGTATAAGTCGAAAACCTATGCCCAAAGGCAAAGGTTTAGAACGGGCACAACAACAAAAAGAAATCTAATTTTGAGGGTTTTGAGGGACTTCAAGTAAAGAGAAGTTCATAATGTGGAAAAATTCAATGGATGGAAGATTTAATAAGCACATCATGGACAGTGTTTATAAATTTCAGATTTGCTCGCACTCGTACCACCTCTAATTTCAGCCTCGTAATCGACTTTGTATCAGCCTATTTTTTGCTTGTACTCGTATTTCGTACCTAAGTACGAGTAGGAATTTTGGTACGAGCTTATAAACAGTGATCATGGAAACCGAAGCATCATCCTATCCTAAGTGGGAAATTTTTATTCACACTTATGTTCTTCTGCAAGTATAGAACAAACCTAAAGTTCCCGAAAAAAGTATTAAAGGTTAAAAATATTAGAAGGGCGCTTTAAATAATTTCTTAACTCAACAAATTTTTTTCTAAAGTTCAATTTTATGACACATTAATATTGCGCAATAATTTTTATTATGTAATATATAAAAGTTGCAAATAATCTCTGTTTAATATATGCTTGTTTTTGTCAAAATTTTAGAGGAACAACCATTAGAAATGAAAAAGGAAGTGTAAATTTGTTTTTAAAAATTTTTAGTCCTTTTTAATGAAAATTTTTGTATTTTTAATAAGAACAAAAGGGAAATGAAATTAAAAAAAATAGTCTATACGAACATATGAAAACCAACAAAACAAATGAAAAAAAAAATAAAGAAAAGGACGGAATCTTGACAAAAAATGGGGGGAGAAGAGAAGATAATAATAAGAAAAATATTAAAAGAATATAAAATATTTTCTGGCGGCACATCACCGCATGATTTTACTCCTTTTTTCACAATAAAAGAAAAAATTTTTTTCTAAAGAAAAGAAGCTACTAATACCCTAATCTTCATTATGAAGTTACTACTAAAAATGTATTTCTTTAAAAAATTTAGAAAATAATTTAAAAATTTGTCGGAACTAGAATACTTGTTAATACTAAAATATTAGTGTAAAATCAAACTGATTTCTCGTTTTAGAATCAACAGCTTGATTTTAAATAGAAATCGAACTGCACTTGGACAAGAATTTTGAGAATTGGGGAATTTTGGATTATCCAAAATCTAGTCTTGCCATTTTAACTAAACTTAAAGTTATACTTAAATTTTATAAGTTTATAGTAAGGTTGTCAGTTTCAAACAGAACTGAAAAACCGAAAATTTAGGTTCAGTTTCGATTAATCAAAGAACTTGAAACCGACAACCATGTCTCGAGTCGAATGTAAACACCTATCCTCTCTTATTAAATTGTGAAAATTAATAGAAACGGTTAGAGAATGTGACCAGTGAATTTATTCAATATAAAAGCAACTTAAAAATGCGAAGATAACGAAATAAAAATTTTTTAAAAGAAAAAAGAGGTAATTATGTGCCAATATCTCATGGCTACAACTTTTTTTTCTGGATGATTGCTATATAGGAATTGAGGGAATATAAAATAAAGATATTAAAATATAAAAATTACTATTTTGCTTATCCTTGTCAATTCTGCACTTTTTGTATGTGATGAATAAAAAAAGGCTTTTAGGGTGGTCAAATAATAAGTGTCAATTTGTTTAGAATGTAAAAATTAAATTTTTTGTCGAGGTTTTTTATGGGCAAAATAAAAGGATTATTTTTTTAATCCATGCTTTTCTAATAATTTTATTTTCTTTTTTTTTGTTTTTATGGCTATACTTTTGCACACTTCAATTCCCATTGATCACTACCAGCTGAAGCTGCAGCTGAGTCAATACTTGATGTTTGAGGTGGAGGAGGCCAAAGACCTGAGGTCGAATTCATTTGTTGTTGTTGTTGCTGTTGGGAGTGAATATCAAAATCGCTGAGCAGTGAAGCTAAACAAAAATAATATTTAGGTGACTTCATAAAAAAATAAAAATTAATCCTAGGACGAGTATAAGGAAGCCCCGCTCAATTTAGAAAAGCCCCTAACTAACCCCTAACAACCAAGATTTAATTTTAAAATTTTAAAATTTACAATTTTCTAATATCTGTTGTTGATGTCCACCAGGCATAGGCCCTCCCGAACTCATTGCAATTGATACTCCACTAGCAGTACTCAAACCAGGAGGTGGTAGCATCATTCCCCCTGCTCCACTTGTTGATGGTGGGAGGTTCATTGCAGAAAAGGCAGTGTTTTCAACACGAGATATTTGTCTTTCGTCTTGTTCTCCGTACTCACAGCCCATCATCAGTGGTTCACCAACTGTGAGAACATCGTGGTGATATTGGCCTGGCGGTGGTACTCCTCCCAAAGGGTGAAACTGGAAAAATTTAGTTTACATTTAATTAAGTTTTAATATATTTACCTGTCCAGGCGGTCCAAGAGGAAATCCACCAGGCCCCATTGGAGGCATTCCTGCTGGGGGTGTCTGTTGGCCAGCAGCAGCCAAATTTGAGTTTGATCCCATGCTCTTTTTTCCTTTAGGTGGGGAACAGTTAGCTGCCATTGAAGAGGAAGGAGTTGTAGCACATCCACTCGTAGCAGCCATTGAAGAATTAGCAACATTAGCTTTTCGTTGTCTCGTCCGTTTCGGTTTAGGTTTTGGTTCTTCTGCAGAAGAGGAAGCATTTGTATTTGCTAAACAAAAAAACATATTTAAAAATTCAGAAATTTAAAAAAAACCTGGAGGTTGCATAGCACCCATAGACGGAGGCGGCATTTGTGGCGGACCCATTCCAGCACCTCCACCCATAATACCCATCATTTGAGGTTGTCCATTAGCTGAGATAAAATTTGCATTATTTTGATTATGTGGAGGTGTTTGCGTATGAGAGCCTGATGCAGCTACAACAGCCATTCTCTCCCTTTCCATTTCTATCCGTTCAGCAACAAGCTGGTGTAACGCATCTTTAGGTGTCTAAACAAAATGAAATTATATAAAAACAGGTAAGACTCTTGGATATTTTGCACGTCAAAAGAGGAAAGTCAGTGTCAAAAATGTCAGTGGTCAGTCAAAAATATGCTCCAGATAAAATTTAATAGCTCGATTGAACCCTAAAAAGACCCCTAAAAATAGTAAAAACCTGATTTGTCTCTTTCACGCGTTCAACAATTGGCTGCATTTGATCCATCATTTGCCACATTTTCATTTCTGACAGTGTTTGCAATGGAAGACCCAAACACGTTGATTTTCTGTCTCCCAATGGTTGAATACCATTTGCATAAAATTCTTGACAAGACCTCAACTCGATGGACCATTCACGGATCCGATAACCACAAGCAGGGTTAAAAGGCGCAAATCTTATGAATAGGCGACATTCAGTTTGCACCTAATTATTAAAAAATTAATTTTGAAAGTAAAAATTGGATTTAAATGAAAAGATGAGAGAAACAAAAAAGTTGAGTTCTAATCAAAATTTTGGCTTTTAAGACAAGCAGGGAAATTTTTATAATTCATGAAAATAATGGGTAAAAAGGGCGTATCCAGGGGTTCGATTACGGGGGGGGGGGGCTAACATTGGAGGCGCGCCAAAATTTCGGCGTTTACTTTTGCGTTCCGAACACAAATTTTTTGCACTTAAATTTTTATTTCTTCAGCCCCCAGACACCTAAATACGTCATTGGTAGGTGAAATGTAAGGACAAGTACATCTAACAAAACTCAAAAAAAAGTTTATCTAAAAAGTAAACCTGTACTTGCAATGGTTTTTCATGACTTGTCCCCATCAAAAGATTTTCACAATTTAACGCACAACAACCAAAAGCTTCTGGAGTTATCCGTATTGGTTCAACAAATTCTTGGGCTGGCGAACGAAGATCAAAACGCAGTTGGTTTATGCCATTTGAAAAAAGTGAGCGGAAGAACCGGGGGATGAAATGTCGAGAAATTGCTAAAAAAATGAAAATTTTAGAAGAAAACTTGAAAATCTTACTAAATCGCTTGAGTAAAAATCCGCTCTGTTCAGCGGAATATTCTTGCATGTAAAAAGCCATAGATCCTAGGTCGTCAAAGAACTCCTGGGAAAAGGCATCCCACCACTGTTCGTGACTTTCAGATGTTGCCTAATAAATTGAAAGAAATATAAAAAAATTTATTTTTAAATCCATCGTCAAATTTCGATTTTACCAAAAAGAAATTTTCTTGGTCAACCCCTCCCATGGGAATATTTTCGAGAACAAAATTAAAAGTATAATTTAAATAAAACACCAAAAATAAGTATACCTGTTGAAATTGACTATGAAATGAATAAAGCCTCCTATTCATCTCTTGCAGCCGAAATTCAAGAAATGGAGGTTGAGGAATGCTAGGCGGTGGGAATAACATTCTAAAAGATAAATTTGATTCAATTTTTTGATTAAAAAATACCTGGGAAAAGGGCCAGGAAACATTGGGTGTGGAGGTAGAGGAAGTTGATGAGGCTGTGGAGGCATTTGCTGTGGAGGTGGACCTTGAGGAGTTGATATAGGGCCAGGTTGATTTGGAGCACCAGAATGATGAGGATGCATTGGCGGGACCATCTTAAATTTTTAAAATTGAAATTTTTGTAAAGGAAAAATTTAAAAAAACCTGAAGGTGAGGTGATTGGACTTGTCCAGGGTGAAATTGTTGTCCGCTACTTCCAGGAGGCAAAGGGCCTCCCATTGAGGAAACAGGGGGGCCTTGAACTGATTGAGGCTGTTGCATCATCATTTGCGGAGGAGGTCCTGAAGGTTGCCCATCGCCAAACATCGGCATTGGAGGAACAAAATGTGGTGGCATGCCAGGAGGACCACCTCCTTGTGGCGGTCCCTGTTGGTAAAAATCAAAAGGTGGCCCCTAAAGTTAACGGAATTAAATTTAAAATAATTAAAAAATACTTGAGGATTGCAGAATCCAGGCCCTCCCATTCCATTTGGTCCCTCATCAAGCTGTTGAGGACCACCAGCAACACCATTCGGAAGTCCTTGATGTTGGAGATGATGCAACATATGAGGCGGAATTCCATGATGTCCATCCATGGGACCTCCTCCGCCTCCTGGACCACAACCTGGAGGAAATCCGCCTCCAATCATTGCCTGATGTAGAGGAGGTTCAAGCTTCATTCCCCCTCCATCTACTGATGGTGTACTACAAATTGATGGAGTTTCTTTTTTCTTGCGCACACGGGGTTGTTTAACATTAGTAGCTGCTGAATCGCCGTCAACATTCTTTCGCCTAGGCATTTTAAAAAAGAAGACTAGGAATGCAAATTAACGATGATCAATATGTAAATATTTCAGCTTATAGTTAGAAGGGGTCTCCACTGACCACCGACTGTCAGATATTTTATTCAGTAATTTTTACAATATCTAAAATTGAAAAAAAAATATTAGAGAAAAACACAAAATTTTAAAGAAAAAAATTTCTTGGCAAAACGTCTATTTTAAAAGTTAATAGAAATTTTGACCTAGAAATCAATGATAATGAACAAAAACCTATGTATAATAAGCGTAGGTAAAAATGAAAAAAAAATCAAACTGGTCAATACATTACTAGTATATAATTGTTCGCATGTATGTGAAGCTGGCAAATTTGAGAAGAGAAGGATACATTTTTCACTATTTTTTTTTCTCACATCCCGACAACCGATCGAATATGACTAATCACCGGCATCGAAAGCCCCTTAATAAAACCAGCAGAGCCAAGCAGCAGCAGTCGACCAACTCGCAACAACCACTACCACCATTACAAACCCGCGCCCGAAGTGCGATATTGTAGGGAAAGCATGCGCAAAAGGATGAAAAGTTAGAGATAATGAAGAGTGAGAGATAATGCATAAAAATGAGTGCGCTATAAAAGGAAAAGAAAACAGAGTAAATTCATCTTTCATTCACTCACCGTTCTCTCTCTAACATTAACGGCTACCCTACAACTCATCGAATCCTTAACTCATCGAATCCTCAACTCATCGAATCGGCCAAAAACACTCAACTCATCGAATCCTTAACTCATCGAATCCTCAACTCATCGAATCGGCCAAAAACGATCAACTCATCGAATTTTTCCAAAAGGGGACGTTTGAGTCCCCGTGTTTATTTTTTAGATTTTTTATTGTTTTGTTTATTTTTTTTTGTTTTCTTCTGGGGTTTCAACTAATTTTGTTAATTAGTTGATCGGGCACTCATCCAAGTTTATCCGGCCAGTGAAAACATTATCAGAACATTATCTCATTCCTAATAAATTATGCTGGAGATTTTACCGGGTAAAACCGGACCAAATTAGTCCAGTAGACCCCGATTATGCCCAAAAGCCCTTTTTCCTAGCCTCCATAGCAGCAAAAAATTTTTTCAACGAAGATTCAGTTAGCCCTTTCGGGAGAAAAATAAAAACAGGGGACTCAAACGTCCCCTTTGGAAAAATTCGATGAGTTGATCGTTTTTGGCCGATTCGATGAGTTGAGGATTCGATGAGTTAAGGATTCGATGAGTTGAGTGTTTTTGGCCGATTCGATGAGTTGAGGAATTTTAGCCGATTCGATGAGTTGAGCGTTTTTGGTCGATTCGATGAGTTAAGGATTCGATGAGTTGAGCGGGCACGACATTAACAGGTTTAGCATTAATAGTGCTATTTTCTTACGCTTTTCCGCTTGTTTTTAGAGCAAAGAGGATCGTAACAAGTTGCTTCTTCAGTTCGCGCGGCATTAAATCCATTGTTAAAGTACGTCAGTGTTTTTGGAAGAGGTGACTTTTCGGAAGTTTTTTTTCTTCGCACTTTGGAAGGAGTCTTGTACTTTTACTTTCTTTAATTTTTTGACGTCAATTTACTGGAGGACAAAAATTTCTGTTTTTAAAAATTAAAAATATAAAGTTCAAAAACATTAAAAATTGAGTCAAAAAGATTGGCATAATTTTTATTTGGAGAGAAAAAATAAAAGTAAAATTTAAAGAATTATGATTTTAAAATGTTGACAGGATTTATAAAATCTCTTCACTAAAGAATCTTCACAAAAAATCTTCACTAAAATTAAATTGTTATACATCATCATATGTTCGATTTGGCATATTTTCTTTTTGACTTTCGGTAATTACACGTAAAGTATTTTGTTTGACAAAATTTTGTAGGGTTTCGATAAATTCAATCTTTGACTTCATTAATCTATAATGTGCCAGACTGAAAAAAGAGAATTAAAATATAAGTTAAAATTTAATTTTATTAGAGAAGTAAATCAAGTGTTTTGAAAAGAACTGTCGTTAACCCTGTCTTTAAGGGCTGCCCCTAACATCACCACCTCCCCCCCCCCCAAAAAAACTAATATTTTACTTACATTTCCGCACCAAGCTTTTGCTGCTCTTCAATAACTTTCACTAATTCAGTAGATTTTGAAGGAGATTGAGGAACGTTTTTTCGATTCATTATTGAAGCAATTTAATTCAAGTCGAAATTTAAACGAATTAAGACAAAATTCTAAAAATTAAATAAATAAAAATTTAAATTAAATTTTCTAACAATAGAAAACTCTTTAATTTAATTGCAAAGTTTACTCAAGTTTTTCAAAAAAAATTAATTAAAATTTAAAGCCATTAATCAAAAAAAACTTTCCCATCAGTAAAAAGTAGGTATTTTAATTTATTAATTATGTAAATTACCACTTTGAAATTTTGTGTAGAAAATAGTGTGGAAAAGTAGGAGAGACAGAGAGAAAAAGACAAAAACGTGGTAAGTTTTTAGAAAAGTTTTTAGGGAAGTTTGGGGAGGTTTTAGGGAATATTTTTCTCGTTTTCTTGCAAACTTCGAGAGTTTTCTTCTTTCCCCCAATTTAATTCCCTAAACAAAACTACACAAACTTTTACATTTTTAAATATTCTATTTTTACTTTAACAACAATTTTTATTTCCTCAATTTACACGTTATTAAATATTTTTTCTTATTTAAAACAATTTTTATTTTCAAAAAGGCATGACTTGCTATGATTTTTGACTGACACAAGGAAGCAAAAAATAAGAGACATAAAAAAGGTTTTTTTTCTAAATATATATTTAACTATCGCTGATTATACATTGCAGAGACACCCTTCCCTTCGTCTATTTATTTTAATAAAAATTTATTAAAAAACTCAGTAAAAATTGACGCTAAAACTCTTATTTACACTGCTAAACGGAAAAGGGGAATAAAATGCGATGTTGAGGTAGAAGACTCCATTCGGCCAATAATTATTAAAACTGATATGAAGCAAAATAGAGGTTTATGTGAAGAAATGGTAAGAAATTTTTGTTTTTTAATTTGACGAATTTTTTAAAGAAATCTTCTTTAAAATTTCTTCCCTTTGTTCCTCTTTGGCATTAAAAAAATAAAAAATATATTTTCTTTTTAGTTTCGCCTTTTGTTAATGGTGGCATTGTATTATCCACTTTCTGTTGGACTTACTTTCTATCAGAAATGGTTTATTAAGGTATTTATTTTAAATTTGAAAAATTTATTTTTTGGGGATTCCCCACGGAGTTTTTTTCATTTCCGAAATAATTACACATATTGTAATTTTTCAAAAAGTAGTTGTAAAATTACACGAATCATATTACACAAAATATAAAGCTTTACAATTGTGTGTTTTGAACGAGTTAAAAATTTTTTTGAGATTCCTCGGCTCCTTTTTGATGTTTAAAAAGGGTTGAAAAATTCCCTGATAATAGCTATTCTCCCCCATTCTTTGCTACTTTGATTTTCCTATTCGTCTTGTTAAACCTTCAAAATATTTTAGACAAATTTTATTTCATAAAATTTAAATTTCTAACCCTTTAGCATTATCGACTTCCTTTATTTATTGTTACCGGGCATTATGTAACAAAATATTTGATGGCCCTAGCAATCCGTTCAATTGTTGAATTTTTACAAAAAAATAGACGGGTACGTGTTCCACTTCGTGAACAATTAAGATGGTTAATGCCAATTGGATTTTGTGCTTCTTTGGATATTGGACTGTCTAATTGGTTTTTTTCTTTTAATTTTTTTAATTTTTAAAATATTTTTAAAGGTCTTTGGAGTATGTAACAGTCTCATTGTATACAATGGCCAAGTCCAGTTCAATTTTGTTTATTGTTGGATTCTCATTATTTCTAAAGTTTGTTTTTCATTTAATTTTGTATCCCTAAAGTTAATCTGGGGAAACTATTAAAATTATTTGGAGGAGTCTGTGGTTTGTAAATATGGACTGAAACTTTCATTTTTACTTTTAAACCTTCATTTAATCTTCCCCCAATTTTTTGCCTCTAAAAATGCAAGTCTTGTCCATTAAGAAAATTGTTATTAGGTCTATGAAGAAGTCATTTCAGCGAGAACAAGACTCGCATTTTTAAAGGCAAAAAGTTGGGGGAAGATTAAATGAAAGTACTAAATGAAAGGACTGATCCGAAACAGGACATGGACAAGAATATCGATATTGGTTCTCGTACAACCTCCGCAATCCATCCTCTAATTTTTAGTCTTTTATTTTTTAAAATATTTTTTCTTCATTTTTCAGACTTGAACGCTGGCATTCCAGTTTGGGCGTGTCTGCATTTTTAATAGCTGTCGGGTTATTTCTTTTTACTTTGCAATCTACACAACTTGATTTTAGAGGTTTTTTTAAATTTATTTTTAAAAGTTTTTAATTTTCTATAGGACTTGTTCTCGTTGAAATGGCTGCACTTTGTACGGGTTTTAGATGGACAATTTCTCAATTAATTATGCAAGGAGAAGAATGTTCAACTCCTGTGAGGCATCCTCTAGATATGGTTAAAAATTAATTTTAAAGATATTTTTTGATTTTCCTATTATTTTATTGAAACAAAATTTTATTAATTAGGTTTCTAAGACCCTGACAAGGAGAGGTTGCGAGGTGTCCGATCTAAGAACGGTCGAGACCGGGCTCATTCGATAGAGAATATGCCCTTTCTAGCAAGGATTTTCTGAAGTTTTTGCCCGTTTTTTTATCTGGCCAACATATGGCCCTCCAAAGTCTCAAAATTTGACATAATTTTTCCCCCTCCAAATATAAACTTTAAATAAAACTTTTACTTGTGAGTAAAAAATCAAAAATTCTACCTTTGTTTACTTAATTTCTCCACATATTTTAAGATGATTGCTGTCCAACCATGGATGTTCATTGCCATAGTCCCAATTGTAATAGTAGCTGAGGGACCTGAAATGACTTGGGAAGTAATTACTTCATTTCATAATGAATATGAACCTGCGCTTGTTTTTTCTTTAATCTTTTCTGGTGGAATTTTGGCGTTTTTAATGGAATTTTCTGAGTTTGTTTTTTAGGTTGAAATAAAATTAATTTTAATTTATTTTTAAAGATATCTTCTTTTGGTTAATACTTCTGGTATTACATTATCAATTGTTGGGATTGTGAAGGTAAACCTTTTTTTAATAAGAATTAATTAAATTTGGTGTTGTTTTACTTCCGTATACGTCCCCATAAATTAGGAACGTAGACGTTTTCTTCTGTGATATCTTGGAAAGTCTTATGAGACTTTGTTTTCGTCTCGGGAAAAAACATTTCCTTGAAATAAAACTGGAGTCCTAATAGTTCTCACTTCAAAATATTTTATTTGAGAAAAGGGGGTGAGGTTCCCTGAGATTTTCCATAAATAATAGGGATCTAGCCGAACCGACCAATCAGCGAAATTGAGAATTTATTCTTTATGTCGGCTAGATCCTTGTCTTTGTCTAGGTCTTCCTATCTAAAAATATCTTTTTCTATTTTTAATAACTTTTAAATTTTCACTTTTAGGAATGCATCAGTCTTCTATTAGCACACCAAATCCACGGTGATCGTCTTTCTGATATAAATATTGTTGGTTTGGTTCTCTGTGTTTTGGGGATGACTTTACACAGCATTACAAAACATACACGTCACAAATCAGCAGTTTTAAGTTCCCCAACCCCTTCAAGATGTAATTCACAATCTTTGTCTTCTCCTTCATCATCACCACAATCTATGGGCATTGGAAGGAGAGGAACTTGTGGAAAAATAAATAATAGTACATCCAAAAAAGTTGTGGAATTGGAAGATAGAAGAAAATTACTTATCCCAGAACAAACAATTATTTAAAAAAAGGCAATTAAAAATACAAGAAAAATATTGTGATTATTTTTTAATTTATTTATTAATATTATTAATTAAACCCTAAGGCTATTAAGAGAAATTAAAAATTTTTTAAAATTAAATTACAAATGTCCGAAACGCTTTTTTCAATTTTTTATTATTCGTGCTGACGTCCAAAAGATCGAAAACCTATTGTTCGCTATCCATCTAACACCTATCCACCTATGTTGGTGAACGGGTACACCCCGATGTACCGCGAGCCCAATGTACCGCCGAGCTATAACTTTGTTCAAAATTGTCGAATCCATGGCGGCCCGGTATGGTTCGATTCAGCTGGTCGAGACGCATCGAATCATACTAGGGCGCCACGGATTCGACAATTTTGAACAAAGTTATAGCTCGGCGGTACATTGGGCTCGCGGTACACTGGCCTGCTCCCGTTGGTGAACACACTTATCCACGTCCAATATTTTATTTGTTGATTTTTTAATTTGATTTTCTCACTGTATTTTCTTAAGGTTTTTAGGTTTCGATCTTGCGGATTGACCTTTTTATTTTTTTTTCTCCCAATTTCTTCCTGTTGTGAAAAAAATTTTTTTTGTAATTATACCAGGTTTATAAAAGAGGGAATGGACTTTTCTAAATTATTTTACAAGAAAAAAGAAAAATCCATTCCTCTTTAATCCCTTTAATTAAATCACTTCGCAAAATTTTTATTCAAGTTTTTCTATTCTTTTACGTCTACTTCCGTTAATTTTTTATTTTTTTTACCTTTTTTTCTCGTCAGCTTTCTGATATATTAAAAAGAATAAAATATCGAAGAATTAAAAAAATATTTTTTGTTCTTTGATCCATTTGTTGACGTCTGTCTTGTCTAAAAAGTACTTTTAAAAGAACACATTTTATTTTTTCTGTTAAATTTTTATTTAATAAATAAGCCAGAAATTTAGTTAAATTCTCTCATTATTTTATTTTTAAACCTTAAATAATTTTTAAAATTGTCTCAAAAATTAAAAAAATAATATATTTTAGACTTCCGCTCCACAAAATTTTTTTCGAAATTTCGACTTTAAATTTTGGTAGACTATAAGGAGTTTAGCAAAAGTTTAGCCACTGGGCAGGATTCGAACCTGCGACCTCCCGACAGTTATTGTAGACATTTTCGCTCACCACATACAGGAGCCCTACCACTGAGCTACCTGGGCATCAACTAACATATAAGCCTTCTATTTTATCCTTTTAGATCGTTCAACCCCCGCCTAAGCGTTTTAAATGCTCTAGGTGAAATCAGCCTTACAGATTTTCGAATTTATTTTCGAACGTTTCTGTAGATTGGCATCTTTCTACATATATTTTCTTAGGCGTTCTTTGGAGGTCTTGATTTTTAATTGGTAGTTGATCAGCGTCTCTATCTTTTGGGTTAACCCCCTCCCAAACACCAAAGTATGTTTAAATTAGGAAAAAAAATTTAAAAATAAAAGTCATGTGCTAAGTGTTTATTTACACATTTTTTTAAATTTATTATGTATGTAAATTCTTTAAAAAAACTTGGAGAGAATTTGTTGACTTCACCCCCCCCCCTCTCCTTTCCATCCCCCTCTCCCCCATTCCAGTCCCCTCCTTACTCCCTCCATTTTCAATCCCCCCACACCCATCCCCTCCATTCCCCCACTTCCCCCTCCTCCATTACTCCAGTCCCCCCCTCCCCCCCTCCCTCCCCTCCACCCCCCTTACTCCAGTTCCCCCCTACCTCTTCTTCCATCAACAAAAAAATTTATTTATGTAATCTCTCCAACCAAAAATAAAAAGTTTTTTTCCTCACCTTTTTCTATTTTTGCTTTGAATTTTCAATTTTATTCACCGCCTTTTACTTGTTAAGCGAGGAAATTTGTGAGGCGATCGGAGACATGTCGCGACACAAATATTCCTCCTTAAAAATGTTCGCGCCTATTTTTAAATATTTTTTTTTATTTTCAAGACTCATTCCTTTCATTAAAAAAATTATTTACCTATATAAATTGAACAAAGAATTTTTAATTTTAAAAAAATATTTTTACTTAATATTAAATTTTATATTAAAAAAATTTTTTTTTTAATTTTATTTTTAAAAATATTTTTTTATCCTTGCAAAGGTATATTTTTTATTTATTTTTTCTATTTCAATTGGAGTTTCTGTTAATTACTTTTTCTCAATTTTCTCTTGTCAGCTGTTCCTAAAATTAATTTTTTTCTCTTTAACATTTAACAAAACTAATATTTTTTAATACCCTTAAAAGCGGTTTATTTAACTTTGGAAAATTGCCGTGTTTAAAAAAGAGATATTGATAAATTTATCTCTTTAAATTATTTGAGGCACAAAATTTAAAGGCCTTCAAAAATTGATTTTTACTTACTTACTCAAAAATACCCTTTTAATTTATTGTCTCTCTCTTCTTTATTATACTCTCTATTTTCATCATACTCTCTAATATAACTAATTTAGAGACACGCCCAAATCGGCGCGCGGCCATAACGGCGCAAAGCCATAACTTGCTTCAAAATTTCCGAATCTTACCAAATTTAGTATTAAACGATTCCTCTCATCAAGCTAAAGAGATTGGCACCAAAATTAACGAGGGTCAAAAATTTTCTAGCAAGTTATGACTTTGCGCCGTTATGGCCGCGCGCCGTTTTGTCCCTTTATATTTTCCCTTTATATTTTCTCTGTTGACTAGAAAGTTTTTTGCCAACAAAAAAAATTTTAATAAAATTTTGGGTTTTTCTTCCTTTTTCAAAGACTTCAAAAGACTTTTAAAACAAAACCTCTCTTTTTTCTTTTAAAACCTTCCCTCCCTCTCATTTACATAAAATTCTATTTTTTACCCAGTCTAACCGGATATACACACAAAACAATTTTTTTTCTCTTTTTTCAGACACACCCAAATACACATTTTACTTGACAGCAAACAGAAAAAAATAAATAAATTTATTTGAGGATATTCCCTTTCCTTTCTTTTGACAACAAGAGTCAAAGCACTTTTACTTGAAATAAGCCAAACGAGAAATATTAGAAGAGAAAAGGTTTAAAGGGGCAGACATTTTACAACAAACACAAAAATGATTTATAATTCTTTATAGCTTATTTTGGGAGGATTTTCTTCTTTTTTTATTGATTTTTCAAGAAAATTAGCTTCAAAGAATTTCTCCAAAAAATCCCCCTTCCCCCTCTAAATGTGCACAAAAGACAACACAAATTCAAAACAAAATGGATCTTCTTCAACTTCAAAGGAAACAGAAGAATATCCTAAACCTTCGTCTTCCAAAGATTATAATAAGGAGGCTGGAAAGGCTGCAAATGGGGATAGAATAAGGGACAAAGACGGGTACAGACAGAGAGCGGTTAGTTTTGATTTTTTTTTGGATTTTTTTGATTAATGAAAATTTGGGAAAAAGTTTTTTTTATTTTATAAAAATTAAAAGAAAATTTTATCCCGAAATTTACCGAAAAATTAATATTTTTAAGTACTTTTAATTTTTGCGGACAAATTATATTTGCGGAAAATATTTGCGGACAAAATATTTTTGCAGACAAATTAAATAAATAAATTTTTTTTATTTTTTCTATTCGGTCTGTCCCATATTTTTTAATTTAACGTTTGTAACGTGTTTGTTTATAATTGTGGGCCAATATTTTTGAGACTAATAAAAAATAATTAGCACCTAAATGCTAATAATCGATTTTGTCCGCAAGTATATTTTCTGCAAAAATTTAAAAAATTTTCAATTTTTTTTCAAAAATTTTTTTCGATAATCCAAAATAAAATTTTCTGTCAAAAACTGTAGAGGAACACTTCTCTTTATTCTAAAGGCTGCTTTCTGTCTACGATTATCTTCAAATGATTGCGATAACCAAAATATTATTATTGATGAATTTGGCAATATTCAAAGTGTTAAAGCCCCTCTAGAAGTTCTTTTGGTTAGCGGAAGGAGGGATGGAAGTGCTGAAAATTATTGGGTATTGCCCGGGGGAGGTGTTGAATTGAAGGTTTTTTTTGAATTTTTTGGATGACATTTTATCCCATTTTTTAAAATTTTTTAGGAAAGTACAGAAGAAGCTGTTGTTCGCGAATTAAGGGAAGAGGCTGGAATACAGGGCCAAGTGTTATTCCAAATTGGAAAATTTATTGTAAGAATGATTTTTTATTTTAAATTTTTTGGAAAGATGTTTAAAAGTGGATGGGCTAATGAACGAAGGTTTTGAGATTTTTCCAAAGGAAATCTTTGGGGCTATCACTAGGGTTGGACAAAATATGCACGCAAAATCGCCAAATATGCGCATATATATGCACCGAAAAAGCCCAAATTTTTTGAAATATGCACCAAATATGCGCAAATAATAGTGAAAATGTTCTTTAAAAATCACTATTTTAAGTAAAAAACACAAATTTAGCCTTTAAAATTGCAATTTAAAAGCACTTTATAGAGATTTATTGATTTTGAAAAAAAATTTTTAAATTTCTTGAAAAATTTTAGGAAAAAATTTTCCAAAAAAACTTTTCGAAAAATTTTTTTCAAAAAATTTTTACAAAAAAATTTTTTGCCGAAAAAAATCCAAAATTTTTAAAAATTTGCCTAATTTTTACTAAAATTTATCAAAAAATGCCGAAATATGGACCAAAATTTGCCAAAATATGCACCAATATGCAAATATGCACGTGAGGGCCGAAATATGCATTAAGAACCGGGTCTTAAAGTGCTCGGACCAATGTAAAAACACCATTTTTGGGCTCCCCACATCAAGGCATATCCGCACACAAAACATGCATTTGCATGTTTTGTCCAACCCTAGTTATCACACTAGTTTGCTCTGTGACACTACATTATTTAAATTTTTTGTAATAAAATGATTAGATGCCGGACTGAAACAGTCGTGTGAGTATCGAGATCGATCTCGATAACCGAGAGTTTTGTTCGAAACTCGTTCTGGGGCCGGTCTCTAAGTGAGCCTAAAAATCTATTCTGGCCTTCTTGGATATTCTCAATTTTCTAAGACCATTATCCCTTACCTTGTAATATTATTTTTCGGATTGTTTAAAAAAAATAGAGACAGATTATTTTTCAGTACTTTTGGGAACCCCATAGGATTTAGTGAAATTTATTCAATTATTTTCAGGACGACCAACGTTTTCACCACACAACACTTTATGCTTTGAGCGTTCTAAAAACTTTTGATGAATGGGAAAATTGTGAAAATGGAAGGGAACGTCGTTGGATGAATTTAGAAGAAGCTAGGCGTTGTGTTAAACCTAATCAATTGGCAATGTTGGAACAAAGCATTACAGCGTTTGTTTTTTTTTTGAGATTTTTTGGGACTATATACTATTTGTATTAACTAAGCTTGAACGACAAGGATCCAAGAAAGCCCAGATATCCGAAAATTTCTGTTCGGATATCGGGATTTCTCAGGATCCGCCAGCGACTCAACCGCTCCAAAAGTCGGAAACTTTTAACCCCTTATGACTTTTCGAAATGGGGGTCAGGGGAAGAAAAGTCAGAAAATTCCAATGGATATCGACCACGCTCTACACGATAGTATACATACTTTTTATTTGAAAATTTTTGGTCACAGTTCGAAACGTTCCCTTGTATTAACGTTTTGGGGTACTTAGGTAATAGTGTCGTTCGGACCTGTTTTTATACGGTTTAATGGTAGGGGTTTAGTGGATCTGATTGGTCTTTTTTGAATAAGAAATCCATATATTCTGAACAATCATTGTAGGAATCTTTATAAAAATGTATAAGAAAATGGGATCAAATGTCCTCTCCCTCTTACCTTTTAAAAAATAAATTTAAAAAAGAATTTTTTTAAGAGTTGAAGAAAAATGGTTGTCTTGTGTTCTCACATTGCATCGAAAAAAATGTTTTAATATTTCTCCAAATTTAATTTTAACAATTTTGGGAGAAACAAAAAATAATTTAAATGAAAATTATTTAATTAATTCAGCGCAAAATATTAATAATAATACTAAATTTTGACTAAAAAATATTTTTTTGTTTTATATTTTTTATTTTGTATTTAGCATTCAAAAAAGGGAATTTTATATAGCTTTTTAAATATTCGAAAAAAAAATAATTTTAGGGGTTTGTCCGCAACTTTTATTCTGTCCGCAACTTTTGTCCGCAAAAAATTTTTTTATCCGCAAAAAAAATTTTTTTTTGTTGAATGCTAAATAGTTAATAATTATTTTTTTTAGAAATTTTATTTTTATTTTTCCTCTTTAATCTGTTTAGTCATTTAAATTGACGAAAAAAAAATTAAAAAAAAATTTTTTAAAAATAAATTTATTTTTAAACACCTCTTTGCATAAAATATCTGGGCATTTTTTTCTTTAAAAATCTTGTCTGCTTTCTTAAAAACGGAAAAAAAAATTTTTAAATAAAAATTAAAAAATTTCCGCAAATTTTTGTCCGCAAAAGAGAATTTCCTATTTTTTTCTTTTTATTTTGACCATTTAATATTTTACTGTTTTTTTTGTTTTTTATTGGATTAAAAATTTAATTTCTTTATTTTTTTGCTTCTTTTCAATCAAATTAAATTAATTTTTAAAATAATTGTGGATAAATTTAAGAAATATTTTTTTTATTTTTAATAGATTAATGAAGTTATTAAATTATAGTAATATTTGGCAATCCTTGAGAAGATACAATTCTGTTAAACTATTGTTGGTTGTTGTCAATAATAATTGTGGTCAGGTTTAAATTAATTTTTTTGGGGAAAGGAAAGGGTTGGAGGTGAAGGGTGAGAAAGATTTCTTAAATATTTTTACCATTAGAGTCGACTTTAAAAACAATTTTCCTTGATAATTTATTTTTTTAAGGCTAGTCCTTTTACAATTTTCTATCATTTTTAAAGTTCGAAAAAATAATTGTTCGGCCTTTCCGCAACTTTTATCAGCAAAAAATTTTGTTGGATGCTAAATAGTAATAATTATTTTTTAGAGTTTTATTTTTTCTTTAATCTCTTTAGTCATTCAAATTGACGAAAAAATTAAAAAAAAAATAAATTTATATAAATCGACTGTGGAACTCCAATCGAAATTCCAATAAAAGTTGCGGACATCCGCAACTTTTCTTAACACTCCTCAATTCTCTCAACCTTTTCTAAATATCAATTTTTATTTTTTTAAAGGATATGCCTCTTCTCTTCCAAAATCACATCCAACCTTCAATTTAATCCAAAATAAAAACTTTTCTTTTTCTCCAATTAAAGCAGCTTTGCCAGAAAGGGACGAAGATGGACTTCCAATTGATTACAAAACTAGTAAATTTACAATTACAAGCAAAAGATTGGATCAACTTTTGTCTAAAGTTTTGGGTGTTAGCAGAACGTTTGTTTATTTTTTTAATGTTTAAATTAGGCATCTTGGTGGGAAAGAGGCTAGGGAAGGGGAGAGGTTCAACTTGTTAGTAGAGGAAAGGGAATATTTTTATGAAGAAGGGGATATTGGAATTGATTGTAATTTTAAATCAAAATTGGGTTGGAATTTCTATTTCCTAAAAATTTCCATGTTCCAGAATTTGAGCTTTTTCTGATTTTCGGTTTCCGATACCTTCGGTTGTTCCGACCACCTCCATTAGATCTCTCTTCTAACAGAGTAAAGGATTGAGGGAGTAAATGTATAAAGTTGTTAAGAAAGGGAGGTGAAGGCAAACTGAGATAAGTGAAAGTTTGCTGGTCCTTAGGGACGGAAAAGTGTTCACGATCTTATTTTGATTTTATTTTTATTTCTTTCCCTCTCTTTAGTTCATTGGAAAAAGTAATTTTACAAGGCTCTGTTCGCGTCAACGAGGAAATAATTATAAGAAGAGCACATGAGGTTTTTCTAAATTTTTTATATCAAATAAAAAATTCAATAGATTGATGAAGATGACGATATTGAAGTATTTATTCAACCTTTAGAAGGAAATGATAAATTGGCGATTGCACAACGTATACTTGTGGTTGGAAGTGAATTTGAAGGTAAATAATTTATTTAAATGTTGAGAGATTTATTCTAGTGTTGGTCGCGGTACCGTATTACCGCGGTATTTTTATCGAAATACCGATACCGCCTCAATCAAAAATACCGCGGTATTGTGCGGTATCGGTATTTTACCGAAAATACCGATACCGAAAAATCGCGTTTGCCTAACACTAATTTATTCCGGAAAATCTTATGTGGCCCTTTAGTCTAGTGGTTAGGGATCTCGGCTATTTAGTGAATAGGTGAGAGGATCGACTCTCGAGGAAGGAAATACTTTTTTTCTTCCTTAAAAAATTGACAATAAAAAAATAAAAATTCTGACTTAAAAATAAAATTTTTATAATCTCCCAATATCCTTCTAGAAATCCCAAAACCTCTTGAGAATTTTTTATTTTTTAAAAATTTACAGAGGAAACTGGATATCATTACAAAATACGTTTTTGGCGAGAATATGTAACAGATAATTGGAAACAAGGTTTGAGGGAAACAAAAGAAGAGGAAGAAGAAAATGTCTAAACTTTAAATATTTTATTTATATTTTCAAAATATTACACAAACATTTGTTTTTTTTGTTACAAAATTAAATTTAAATATTTAATAGACAATTTTGTATACAATTAACAAATTATCTATTTATTATTTTAATTATTTAGGAAGTAGTGCAGTGGACAAAGTTTATTTTATCATACAATCTATTTTTATATTCTTAAACTTTTTTCAACCTATTGACTAGCAAAAATTTTGGTTCTAAAGTCCACTGCACTTTTAATCAAAAATTCAGGTTCGGGAAGTCATTAGAGATCGTGATGGATTTTGGGCAAGGGCTGGACTTTTTACGCCCCTAATCTTATCCATACAAGCCTTTCAAATCAGGCCAAGGATTTTTAAAAGATCACAATCTCTGAAAGAAACAATAAAAAATTTCTGTGACATACAAAAAGTCAAAATCATTTTCTCACTCTTTCCTAAATAAACAAAAAAATTCTTTTAAAATAATTTCTTTCACAAATCATTATTAATTCTATCATTAAGAGATTCCTTATACCGCCAAGAGTCACCTATTTTTTCGAAGAAACGTGTTTTCCATTGAATTCCTTCTTTGTCCCTTTGAATTTTTTCATCCCTTTGACGTTGTTCAATCCAACGTTTTGCTTAAAAAGATAATTATAAAAAAATTCTTTTTCTATGAAATAGAAGATAGAATTCTTTAAAAAAATAAAGAATAAAACTAAAAAAAATTGCCGGTACCCCTTGTAAATTAAAAAAAAATTCCCCAAATTTGAAAAAAATAAAGGATTCTTTTTTAGTTGATGAAATGTGGATGGAGTCAGGGAAGACACAAAAAAATAATTTCGAAAATAAGACAAAACCGAATCTTAACGAAAAAAAACAAAAAAAACCTTCAAAATATTTTTAAAAATATTATAAGTAAATACCAGGGCTGGGCTTATTTCGCACTTTCGCGTTCTCGCATTTTTCAACGCGAAAAGTTTCGCATTTCGCTTTTTATTTTTAGATTTCGCCCAGCCCTGGTAAACACCCCAACCCCTTCCTAATATTTTTATTCCAAAAATCCCCCTAAAAACAACCTTGTGTTGCCACATCAATATTATCACGAAACAAAGCCAAAGTAACATGCCTCCACAATCTACGGCTTTCTCTTTCTTCTTGTTTCATAACTGGAATACATTCCTTTAAAAAATAAAATTTTTTCCTTCCCTAAAAATCTCCAAAAAACCTTATTAACATCTGCTTTAGCCAAAACATTTGTAAATAATTGATAATCTCCTCCCTCTCCTTTTTTAATATAAATTTGTGAATTCCATTCACCTTTTAATTGAATTATTGGTTTTTTAGAAGAATGACCATAAAAGACATTTCCTTGAATTTGATGAGCTTTTCCACGAAATATTGGCTTTGTTATAAATTCAATTTCGGCTCTATATTGAGTTTTTTCACAATGAATTTCGACCTTAAAAAATAATTTTTTAAAATTTACTTAAAGAAAAAACAAACTTTTCCTCCCAATTCAATCCAAGGAGTTGACATAATAGACCGGCCATAAGCACTAGGAAAGGTTACCACATATTGTTCTCCATATTTATGTAAAGTAACGGTTCCAGAACCGATGTGATGAACACCTAAAAGTAGACAAATTTTAATTTTAGAAATTAAAAAGGGAAATTATTCGTGTCTGATGATCCCAAAAAGTTTGGATTTTACAAAAAAGACCGTGACAATTTATCCCAAAAAATTCAATTTACTATTAAAAATAGAAAAGGAATCAGAGATGATCCTAATTTGATTCAAAACTTTTTACAAAACTAATAAGCGACATTTGATCCAAACCAGGGATTATTTCAAGATTTTCTTCGGATCGGGTTTCGGGAAACTCGTGATATCCCCGGTCCCAACAATTTCAAAGTAAAGAACCAAATAAAAATTCAATTAAAAAACAAACCAATAGAAAGCCCAAGAAAAGACGATTTTGTGTAAATATAACCATTAAATGAAACACCCGCTTCTGGATGCTCTGCATAAAAAGCAGAGATTGGTGGGTGATGACTAACTTGTTCAGCAATAAAAGTAACCTTTTTCAAAAAAAGATTAAACAAAAATCTCTTTAAGAAAAAACCTGATTTGTTCCAGTCCCAGGGAATGGCCCCCTTTTCGTTTTTTGTTCACTCGGGACAGTTCCAGGCAACGTCCAACGACAACGAAAAGTTTCTCCAAGAATTGGGTTAAACGGCTTTTTGGCAACTCCACTTTTACGTGCCGGATAAAAAGAATTTAAATAATATTCGACAACAGCTAAAAAGCGTGATTCTGGAGTATTTAAATTTATAGCGCCGATAAAGTCGTCTGGATGAGCTGAAAATTTTATGAAATTAATAAAAAAATTTGAAGAGAAAAAAAACCAAAAAATTCAGAATACATTTCCAAAAGAGAACGACGTTCTAAAATAAATGTTGGCAACGTAACTTTACTTAGGTCCATTCCAATGCTGACCTTTAAAACAAAATTTTTTTTAATTATTAAAGAGTGTGTGTTCTTAAATTTAGAAAATCAAAAGAAAAATTTAAAAAAAAACGAAGAAAAATGCTTAAACATATTACAAATACAAAAAATAAAAATGTCAAAAATCATGTTAGGAAAGAAACAAAATCCTTTTATTTTGTCCTACAAAACGGAAAATGAGAGAAATTAATGAATTCCCAAAGTTGATCTATATGTATTGGAAGAAAATTAAAAAAACCAATTTAACAAGGAAACAAAATTTTCCGGTCATTTGCTTAAAAATGAGGGAAATCTAAAAAATCTGGTTAAATGACAGTTGATCCCAAAAATCCATTAATTCCAAAAAATTCGATTAAAAAACAAAAAAAACAAACCTGAGAAAGCAAATGCATCAAAACACTTCCATGTTGTTTATTTATATCCCCAACATCATGCTCGTCTGTATTATTATATATTGTATCATAATTTTCACATTTTGCATCGCCCCCACTCCAATCGGGGTCTGACGTTGTTAAAGTCTCTGTTCCATCCAAACTAATTCTTTTAAGCGAAGTTTGGGACAATCTATGACTTTTATGATGGAAAGAACCACTAGTATTCAAAACTGTTGAACCAGCAGGTGATGATCCCCCTCTTTCATTTTCTTGTAAAATTTTGGATCTAATTGACCCTTCTTCATTTTTAGCATCGAAGAATTCATCATCGCTACTAGAGAAGCTAACCATTTGATTTACATCGTCCAAAGTTATTTCTTCCTAAAAAAATGTTTTTAAGCGTTTTACGATTTAAGAGGCTCATTTGTCAGGTTGTTTGTAACAATAATCAAGAAGTGAGAATATACCCCCAATTTTGAAGCGTAAAATGAGACGGATAAACATAGATCTAAATAAAAAAAGGGCAAAAACGGCAAAAAATCCTTGCTAGAAAGGGCACATTCTCTATCGAATGAGCCCGGTCTCGACCGTTTTTAGCTCGGACACCTCGCAACCTTCCCATGTAAATGTATTAGTGGTCTTTTTCGGAAAAGTTGAAGACTTAAACCTTCAGGGTTACAAAGAAACCATGAAAGGAAGGGGCGACAAATTATCCCAGTATATTTTTAAATTTTCAAAAATATGACTAATTTTAATGGAAATTCGTCTCCATTCTTTAGAATGGCCCCTCGATTTATTAAAAAAATAAATTTACTTTTGTCTCGTCCTCTCGACCATTCGTCTCTGTATCGTTCATTTCCAAATTTTGTGTTTGATCAAAGCCCAAATCTCTCTGTACTTGTTGAAGTAAAATAAGCGAATGGTCAACTGTGCTTTGTAGACGTTTTGCTGTCATCAAAATTTCAGATAAAATTTTCTTTCGTTTATGATCTGCCTTTTCTGAATCTTTGTTGAGTTGTTGTTCCAAATTTCTGGTCTATTTTTCTTTATTTAAATTTTCTTTTAAATTCAAAAAACCTGTTCTAACAACATTTGTGACTGATTCTCAGCAGTCGTAACTCTTTTATGTAAATCTAGGACTGGATCCTCTTGTGGAGGTTTGTAATAGCCACACTTCTCGTGAATTACTCGTTCCAAAGCACGAACCCAAGAATTGCGTTCAAGTTTACTCTTTCCCTAAATTTAAAAAAATATTGCTAATAGAGTTAAAAAATATTTGACAAGCTCTTAAAAGCATGAAATTACTACGAATTCGAGACTATAATTAAGTCAGCCCTGTATTAGAGATCGAGATTTTTGAAAAGCCTTTTCTTTGGTTACGGGTTTGATTTATTGACCTGGGCCAGATCATGGGCCTGTAGTCCAGGAAAAACCCAGGAAGGACAAAAAATGCCTGGGCCTGGACTCTGGTTACAGGAAAAATCCAGGCCTTTGTCCAGATCCAACTCGATCTCCAAACCTCAAAACAATATTTTTTCAAAGTCCATGTGGACTTGTTTTAAAAATCAACAGGTTTTTACATTGGAAAAATATCTGAAAAAGGTTTTCCCGA